TACGCCTTTAGGATTCATCTTTATCTCGTGAGAGTCCCAATCTAGAGAGGTTTCTATGAGGGATGCAAAGTACCCACCGTGACCTCAAGTAAATGTAGAGAATTCCTCTCAAAACTGTCCCCGTAGTCTCATCTTCTGAGTGGGTGAAAGGTGCCACGCCTCCAGATTTTCATACCTAAAGTGCAGATATTGAGTACGTCAAAAATAGAGTCACCCGTTCAGACACTCTGCGTCTGCCTTCTAATGACAAGATAGTGACATTTACCAAATTAACTTCTGTCAAGTGCCCGTGCGGTCGCAGGAGGATTGTGAGCGAAGCGCTGTGTTGGAGTTCATTTGACGGCATGTCTGTCCCCCCCAGCGATGCTGTAGCTGAGCCTTCACTTTAATTTCCACAGCTTTCCTCTTCCACTCGTGTACCAGCCCCCTCTCTTCTGTGTTAAATTGTCTCTAAATTGGATATTTAAGGGGATGTTGAACTCAGGGGAAGGGATGCTCTCTCTTTCTTTTACTCTCCTTGCAGCAACTCTCACCCCACTTCCCTCCCCACTGCATATGTATTTTTACATTTTGAGGGGTAGTAATGAAAGCAGCAGCGTTGTTTGGGAGACAGGCGTGCATCTTATTTACGTATCTCCAGTATCCAGACTTGGCCTCTTCAATAAGCTTAGCCTTCCCGAATCCAGCACACTGTATATGAATCAGATTCAGCATGAGGGGGGGGGGGGGGGCATTAAAACACACCATTCCATCTCTGATTACATTCGCCTCGCTCATTGAATGGCAGGAATAAGAGAGAGAGTGTTGTAGCGTAACATTAGGATCCTATGGGGCTGGGTGGGGCTTTAAGGTGAGGGTGTGAATGTATCTGTAACTGTGTGTGTGTGTGTGTGTGTGTGTGTGTGTGTGTGTGAGAGAGAGGGAGAAAGAGCCAGAGGTGGGGTTATATCAGCAGTGTTGCGATGACAGGCCTCCTCCTATAAAGGCGTCAGCAGCCGGGGCAGATTTACGACGGCCGTGCTGAGTGGAAAGCGTGATGGGGGATGGAGAGGCAGCTCTCACTATCGAGGATATCTTATGCCTCCTTTGAGAGTCACTCCCTCCCTCTCTCTCTCTCCAATTTCATGGCTCTGTGTGTCGCATTGTCTTTGTCTTCTTTCTCTTCGTTGCTATTTATCATCTTATTATTGTAGTTTTTTAATAATAATTTCTGTCTTCACAGTATATCATTTCTTCAAATTTTTTTTTTCTTTCCTGCAGAACCATACGGAGCATTGCAGGGTTTTAGGCAATAAGTGTTTCCTTTGTCTGTTGGCTCTCTTTATCGCAACTCAACTCAGACGAGCCTTTTAATTCCTCGTACATGTGGGAATGAGCGAGGGTCAGCTCATTTCATCTTTTTTTTTAGTGCACTGTTACAGTATGAATAGATGTATCCATTATGGCTGAGAGCAGTCAAAGAAAAGGGCAGAGAGAAGAGGTAGCGTGAAGCAAAGAATGAATAGTGACAGAGAGTGTGCCGAGTGGCCTTTAAAAATGCTCTAAATGATGTCTCATTACAATAAGACAGGTAGTGCGGAAGATATATTTATTATTCACATTATTATTATTAGATAAAACAGCTAATGAGACTCTTTTCACAGGTTGGGATTCATTTTAAATGATTCAAAACAATTGCTATTTCCACACCCAAGACTGATCCCTCTATGATGCCTTTTTTGAAGACTACAAAAATGGTTCCCTCTAAATCTGTCATCAAACAAAAAAGTTATTCGCTTTCTTCAAAAAACAAAAAGATTGGTACCCCTCTCATTTCTGTACACTAAATATGCAGCAGACTTGTAACAAGCTCCCAAAAAATCCCTTGATTGTGTGTCGCACACAGAAGTTGTAACAGTTTAACAGTTGAAAGCAGCTCCCATGCAACAATAGATCAGTATCACATGACACCCTGATACCCTGATACCCGTCCTGCCCCTGATATTGTTTTGGAAAGACCCATGTGTTGCCATGGCACCGGAGCACCAGCTGTTCCCAGTTTGATTGTAGTTTTCCACCTGCAGCAGGAAAAGAGACCTGTTCCCCCTCCCACTGTTTCCATGCAAACATTTTACAGGAATGTGTGTGTGTGTTTGATTTTTGGTGTTAGAAGCAGATTTTGGTTGCTTTACTTTGCCAATAGCTCCAGGAAGATATCAATGGGTGGACTGTTTTTTGGAGAATGATATATTAGGCGCTACTCTATGTGTTAGTGTGTGTGTGTGCGTGTGTTCGTAAGTGTGTGCTTATGTGTTAGCTTTTTGCAGTTTATTATTTTCCTGATAAGGAATCGTTTGGGGGGGAACAAGAGAGGAGGGAGAAGTGAGGCAGCTCAGAGCAGCAAGAGGAAGACGCAGACCTGTGAGCAGCATGAGGATGAAGAGGCCAGCTGTGGAGGCCCCAAATCAGCGGAGACACAAGCGATCTGTTCGCAAGAAGGATAGAGAGAAGAGACGGCGAAAGATAGAGAAAGAAGCAGTTCGACATATGCGGCGATGCAGGGGCATACAAACAAAGAGCGTGAGAGTCAGAGGGAGAGAAACTGACTGCGGGCTGCGTTAGAAGCAGCGTCTGGGCCGAGATGAGGTCACACGTGGTCAGACTGAAGCCTAGTGTTTGAAGACCACAGGCTATAGTGACCCATTAACAGACTCGTAAAGCTCAGCCCCTCCCCCACTGGAAACTGCTGGTTTGAAGATATACATACCAGACAAGCAGACTAGCAAGGGTCTGAACCGTTTTAATGTCGTGGTCATTCCTTTATGAATTGTTAATTTGTTTATAGGTTAAAAAAACAACAACGCTGGATTTCCCAGAAGAAACAGTTTAGTTTGATTTAGGGCTGCTGTGATTCATTTGGCATTTTGTATATTTTATCTACAGTTTATCATTATTATTCATGACTGTGGTTTTGTGGTTCTGTGACTGTGCCCCCCTCCCTCCTTTTGTAACCAAGAGGGGGTTACAGCCTAAAAAATGTTGTTTGGGTGCTCAATATTTCTAGCCTCAGGGTTGTGTGGGCACCACAGACACACACACACATGCACACACACACACAACCTCAGTGTGTTTCTAGTGACAGCATTTTTCCAAAACAAGGTGGTAGGAAGATTAAAATAAGTCAGCTGGAGATGTTATGCTGCCAACATGAATACACAGAGGTGGGGTTGGCAAACAAGAAAAAGAAAAACATGCCAGCATGCCTCTCACTCATTTCCCACTTGGTGTTTTCCACATCTGTATTTTAAGACAAGCAGTGAATCAGACCTCAACATGTGCATCGTCTTTTTGCTTGCATGTTGTCTTCTGAATGTTTGTTGTTTCCTAAATGTTAGATCTGGTTACTCAGTGATCCTTACTGGCCTCCTACAGGCTGAATGTTTATGCATGTGCTTAGTAAATACATCAAATCCAACCCCAAAATCATACCGCAGCGCAAGTTAGTCATCACACAAGTTAAAAAAAAAAAAGGTACAGCAAAGAAAAGACTGAAGGAGAAGATGAATGTTTAGGAACACAACAATATGATAATGAAATTCATAAGTAACAGCATATGTGCATGGGGTTGCAAAATAACAGCAGTGACACTAAGACTACAAATGAATGAAGAATGTGTAACACACATACACACACACACACACACACACACAGAGCCTCTATGTTGGTCTTTGCCGGGCAGGATGCCGTTGGTCGAAGCAGGCGCAGTGGGCAGCACCCGCCCACAGGCAGTAGCGAGTACACAGAGCGAGCGGTGGGTGGGCTGAAGGTCAGACGGGCCCTGAACACACCATCATTGTTCTTTCTATCTCTTTCCCTCGTTTTTTTTTCTCGACGCTATGACCTGTGACTTTAAGAGCGTATGTCTGTGTTTGTGCTGGTGTCAGACAAAAAAAAAAACATCAGTGACTAGCTACATGTTAGCTGAATGTGTTCTACAGCTACAGAATACTTGTAAATGATTTGAACTGGTGTGTATTCTGCATGTTTTGATGTTTGCCTGCGAGACTAGAAAGTGCTGTTGCGGGTTATTAGTCTGAGTCAACACAGAGGAGGCCTGGCCAGCTCTCTGAGAAGTTCAGCTCTGTTGAATGTAGGAGTGGGAGGAGATGAGCAAAAGGTCTTCTGTGACATTTAGAGATGCTTGATGTCTTCCCCTCAGCTGTTACACACCAGATTCCCCGAACCACTGACTGCACTCTCTCCTCCCGGAAGGCGAACCATTTGAAATTACAAAAACGTGTCTAGTGGAAGCCACAGCTTGAATGCATCGCCTCACTGAGTGTGATGTTGTAAAACAAGGTATTTTGCAGTCAAATTGTAGAATGCGTCCAGCTCACTGACATTTTGTTCCGAGCTCTTTCTCTCCCACCTCTCCTCGTAAAGGGCAGCGTGGGTAATTATACTCGAAGCCACTCTGTGCTGGCTGAGCTGTTGTTCTTACAGAGAAAGTGATAGTGGCCACCGCAGATGCAGGTCGGAGGGAGGCGGATGAAAATTTCCCCGGAGACGCTGCACTCGGTGTTGCAATTATTTGACCCTTGACCCAGTTTGTAGTCGGCCTCTTCGAGTGCTTTCTCGCCGAGCTTTATGTTTGTATATGAGTGCATGAACAAAGATGCCGAGGGGAACTCATTTTGTGTGCCTCAGTTTCTAGAATCGCATTAATTAGTGTTTCGAAAATTAACTCCTCGCCTTCTGTGTGCAGAATCTACCCAGTGTGCTTTGTAAAGGCACAGGCAACTTTAATGGACCTTTGGTTAGATTGAGGCTTTCTAAAGTTGTGTTTCTTAAAAGAAATGATGGTGTTTACATCTCCAAATGTCAGTTTTTTAGCTCCCTTTGTCCCTTTCAAGACTGAGTGCAGAAAGCTTGAATTGCATTAATTTGGTGATTTGCGTCAAAGGTGATTGAAAGAATGTTTAAGGTGCCAACTTAAGGTTGTGTTTTCTCCCCTATCACAGATGGTCATTTCACGGGGACGCCTCCCACGTACGGTTACGATGCAGACCGCGCAGAGGAGCAGCGGAGGCACCACGACATCCTGCCGTACATCGACGACTCGCCGTCATCTTCTCCGCACCTCAGCTCCAAGAGCCGCAGCAGTCGGGACACCCTCTCCTCCGGATCGTTAGAATCCTCCAAGTCGGTGAGTATGCTGTTTTTTTACTATTGTTTCAAAGTGTAATACTACATGCATGTGCAATCCTACCAACGTGGCTGGAATTACTCTTCAATGGCCAATAGTTATGTAGTTTGACCTCAATACAGCACAGGAAGTGGGCTAAATATATTCATAGAGCAATCCCGATCCGTCAAAAATCTGTCAGTTGATGAGAAAATCAAATCTACTGTTTGAGAGGATGGATAAAGGACAATATCGCCTGCCTCATAACCCCCAGAAGCAGTCATCCAGGGAAGAAACTCATCCCCCTTAAGAGTCTGGCTTTTTCTCATCCAGGGTATTAGGCAGAATTACCTCTATCACCTCTATCACCCCACCACTGCCTTCATCCTCTTACCCCTCCCTCCTTTACTCTTTCTTGTCTGCGAAGAGAAAACCAGTGATCTATGACGTCTGCTGCTATCGAAGGTTACCATGGAGAGGATACACACGAATGCTACACACACACACACACATACACACAAAACTGTAGTGTCAGCAACGATGAGAATGAACATGGATGCTACCGACAGAATCTATTCAAGCATTTACCCATTCCTTCTTGCACCGAAGAATTTGTGAGTAGCAGCATATGAACATGTTTAGAACCGTATGTTTGATTAGGACAGAGAGGTATTTTGGGAGAATGTAATAGGCTAATACTGCCGCTCTCCACTGTGCCCTTGGAGGAAGTAATTGCATCAGTGTTCATGGAGCAGTATTACTCCGCCCCCTCAGTCTTTGCTCACTAGTCTTATCTGATTTATAGCTTGAATCTGCCAATAAATGATGACTCCCTTGGCTGCATCCAACCTTTGACCTCTGATCTTGGATTTTAATTTATACACACGCTTTTAGGTTGCACAAGCCAATGGCTCCTTTTACAGAAATGCACACGTCCTCTTCTCTCAGCAAGAATGTTAAATTCACATTGAAGATGATTTGAAGGGCAGAATCCTGGAGGAAACTGGACGCTGTGTGTGTTTAGGGTTGGCAGTAACACCATCGGACGGCCAGTTAAATACTAAACAGCCAAACAACAATCGTCCCTCAACAAATTCTCCACGCAGACAGACATGCTTTCAAAAACCGCCATGAAAACGGAGTTACCAGCATCCTTGATTTGCCCTTCAAACATCACCCCAGTCTGCTTCTCCAATCGATGAGTCACAGCCCGGACAATCTCTGATTGGCTGATGGGTTTTATGATGTCACTGTGATGAGTCATCACATACTACTGATTTAATCTTCTCTCATATCCGGAATCTTTGCAGTGAAGAGGGAAACGAGTGGGGTCACTGATCAGAAGTCAGCTGAAGTGTGAGGACTGTGCTGTAATGGGGTTTTTTTCACAACTTTGCAAAAACACTGGCCGCGTATGTTTTATTATGTGACATATACTTGTAGGTCAATCTAGGACAGTCAGAGTCAGCTTTTCCCCCCTCTCCACGTTAAACAGAATTCACATTTTTTATGTATTTTTCTATGGCATTTAATGCTTTTTACTAGATATATGACAGTACAAACATGAGGAGAATTGAAAGAGAGAGAGAGAGAGAGAGAGAGAGAGAGAGAGAGAGAGAGAGAGATGGGGAACGACATGCAACAATGGTACTTGGCTGGATTCACATCAAGGACATTGCAGTTTATGGTTAGTGGCCTCCGGGGCACCCCCAGAATTCCCTTTAAGCCATAAACCCTTTCCTCTGTTCCTGTAGATTCCTGATTTATATTTATTCCTCCACACATTTATACTGTGTTATAGTTATACTAGAATGCTCCCTCACCCTGTCTGACATCGCACCTCGATGCCAAGACCTGAAGGGGGAGGGAGGTCATTTCCTACTGGACCAGCGCAAAACCTTTAGAAGACTCAGTAGAATTGGAGGCGTGGAAAGAATGAAATCTCCTTTAATATTATCCATCACATCTGTAATGAAAATTCACTCATCGCACAGCTTGTTTCCTTGCAGTCAACGGCATGATGTGATGCTGTATCGCAAATAGCCGATCAAAAAAAAAAAAAAGACCTGCAGACACCAACTCTGTCTATCACTGCTGTGCAATTTAAATAAGCAGTTAAAAAGAAACTGTCTTTCTCCTGCAGCACTGGGTAACTCTAAGACAACCCCATTACTTAGCAGACATGTGGAGATAGGAAACAATCACATTAGACCCTTCAGAAAGCGAGGGATGGCAGAACAGGATGCTAAAGAGATTAGAATATGAAAAATGAGAACGGTTAATAAAGTGTGTAACAGGGGCGTGCATTGCCGCTCACTTCTTCCATCTCTAACCTGCTCTGAAAGTTTGTAAGAGCTGACATGGGAAAGACATGGAGAGATATGGGGAATAATGTTATAACCGCAACTGCTGCTCGGTTTTTATCTGCGCCTCCTGAGCTACGTCTGCTCGCTGGGCAAATAAACACTGTTTGTATTTATTCTCTTGTATCTCCCACGAACATCATCCACCATGCATAAACAAATGAGAAGCAAGTCAGAACTCCTGAATCATCCAGAGTCACCACTACAGGGGGGTTGTGTGGGCTCAAATGTGAAATATTTGGCTTCCGTTGACTCTGTTGCACATACCGGATGTGAAAACATAGAAACACCAACCCAAATACACCCCGAGCAGGAAGAGTGTGTCTCATTTCATATGAAAAGGCAGGCAGACACCCCTTTTAGTCTGAACCCAGAGATGGGCTCATTAGTTGCTACAGCGATGAATAAAAGATGATATGTCTGGAGAAGTGGGTACTTCCTAGGGGAGTCGTCTGGGGTCTGAAGCGATGAATAAACACTTTCGTCTCGCCTCCGCTAGTTCAGTAACATGCGGCTGGATTGTTGAAGTTTTCCTCCTTGTGATTTGCTTCAAATATTCTTGATGCTGCAAATGGACCCCCGTGGTTCTCATGCTCTTTTACCATCGGGCATATCCTGCGAGGCTAAAGTCAGATAGCTCATGCCGATACTTGTAGCTCAGCAATGATTCATTCATTTTTCATTAACTTACAAACACTCGGGGGGGGGGGGCTCCGTCACTGCCCCAAGCTCTCCCTTTTAAGTTAGAGAGATCCAGAGCCGCTTTCTGGGACTTTTGGTCGTCTTAGAGTCTATACATAACGAGCAATTGGAGCTTTTTTTTCCGATGCTGTTATAAACAGCTCAGATCCCCAGACATGTCTGTGTGATGCATAATACATGTCTGTCAGAATCATTTCCTTTATGCTTCACCTGAGAAAGAGAGACAAAGAAAGAGAGCGAGAGAGGATGTGCAGTAAAAAGTATTTACTTTTGAAGACGAGATAAACCGTCAGATGAAGAAGAGGCCAATATGCTTATACGCTAAATACTGTCCCATTCTACTTGAGGCCTGCACCTGATTTCTCCAAACTATAGTAGTAAGTAGAGGAGGGCTGAACCGATCAGACGGTTAGTAGATTAGTCAACAATTGTGTTTTCGGACGTTTGTTTGGACAAAACAGGACCTATGAAGCCGTCGTCTTGGGTTTTTGGCATTTTATGATTTTCTTGTTGACCAAAAGAATTGATAAATCGTGAAAATAATTGGCAGATTAATTAATAATGTAAATAATCTTTCATTGCAGCACTTAAAAACATTTCCTAATTCAAAGCCTTAACACCCATTGAGTTAATGGCTGAGATGCTAAGAAGCTTGAGCAAAGTAGCATCTTAAATCCACCCGTCTTGTTTAAAGCTGAGTTCAGGAGGATTAACGGTTATTGATCGTAACTACGGCAGAGCTGTAACCACATACAGTTACCTTTCAATGTTGAGTGCTATTTTTAATTTGCTTATGCAGTGGCCATGGAAACAGCTTTCAGGCCTATTTACCCCTTCATTTAAATATATGCATGCACACCCACAGACATCCAAGCACTCACAGTACGTACTCATGTGCAGCTCACAGGAACGCTGCACATCATTTTAGCATATACATATCTATACAATGCCTGAATCCTGCTGTCTAGATATATAGTTGTAGAAGTGGCTTACAGGTGGCTTAACATACATAGACATAAACAATTCTATATGTTCGGCTTTTGGGCTGTTGGTAAGACAAAACAGGCAATTTCAAGAAGATTGTTATGGCCATTTTTCTCTATTTACGTACATGAACACATCAACTACGAAATTGATTCTCTGCATTGTCTTCTATGCTGTTACCCTCCTGACCCAACACACACACTCATCCACGCAAACACACACCATTTATTGTAGGTCTCTAGAAGCCAGGAAGCCTTAACAGCTCCTGATAGACAAGGTGAGACAGGACAGCCAAAAAGGCAGAGAAACAGAATGTGCAGCTGCAAGCTTTCAATATGTCGCCTCGCTTCTTCTTAATATATAGTCCTACTCTCTGTCTTTGTCTCCCCTTCATCATGTCAGATATTCTTCCCTCTTTATTCTCTCTCCCCCTCTCTTAATTATACTGAACCTATCTTGCTCTCCATCTCTTCTGCTCCTCTTCTTTCTTTGTCATTCTCTCTCACCCTTCCTCCCTGTTTCCTCTCTTTCCTCCTCCTCATAGCCTGAAGGACTGGATGTTTCCACGTCCCAACCTGGGCTCACGGTCTGTGTCTATGTGTGTGTGCGTGTGTGTGTGTGTGTGTGTGCGTGTGTGTGTGTGTGTGTGTGTGTGTGTGTGTGCGCTCCCGGCACTTGCACATTCTCTCACAGACACATACTTATACGCCAACCTCGCTCCCATGGGAGACCCTGCCTGTTTGTGTTATTTCAGAGTTCATGGTTAAACAAGACAGCCCGAGGAATCTCTCTGTCTCTCTGTTTTCTTTCATGTCCGTAGTCCTCAGTGAGCTTTCGGTGGGCTGAGGGGAATGGGGAGGAGAGCGGGGAGGATTTCTCCAAGGTGCGATTGTTGCCGTTTGATTTTGCAGACTGTGGCCCTCACAAACGGCAACACTGCAGAGGTTTTCAAGCTCCGCTAAGAACTAGGAGCCCGTCAATTTGGGATTTACAAATATTAACTGATGTAAGGAACAATATGATGCTTTGAATGTTCTTCATGCCTCAGGCACAAAATGATGCAGTGTGAAAACAGAAAAGGCTGATTTAAAGAGTAAGTTAAAAAGCAAAGTGGGCACGTGTAGGATTGGATTATTTGTTGTGCATTATATTGTATTGTTGCATATTGTTTTAGCTTTACTATTACATGCCTGTGTGTTTGTTACAGACTGAATGTGACCTGGAAAAAGGTTTGGAGATGAGAAAGTGGGTCCTCTCTGGGATCCTGGCCACCGAGGAAACATACCTCAGTCACCTGGAGGCCCTGCTGCTGGTGAGAACACACACACTACATCCAGCCATACTATACAGGAGAATGTAATGACTGCGGCATTAAGTCCATTGATTAGGCAAATTGAGTATTAGGTATGGAATTATTTAACGATAAATTCACGCACTTAATTTAATTCAGTGTCGTTAAATGCATCTGCAAAATGTGTAAGTAACACAAATAGATTACAAATTACAACAATCAAAGTTTCGAAATAGCCAAACCAAATAAATAACAAATAAATTGATTTATTTTTTATGTTTTAAGACAAGAGACACCGAGTTGGGTGTTATGAAAGTAGATAGAACATAGTGGAGGACTGTTTGCGAACACGTTTTCCATAAGAACTTAACTTCTTATTACTTTTATGCCATTTAAATGATAATTTGACAATCCAGAACCGTCGTGCAACTAGAGAAGAGTCATAAAGACAACAAACCATTGCAGTAATGACTATCTGAAGTCCTCACAGTTAACACAAAGATGCCCCACAAAAGCAACTTTTTCCATCTCCTCTGTTTGTCCCTCTCAGCCCATGAAGCCCCTGAAGGCCGCTGCTACAACTTCGCAGCCTGTGCTCACAGTGGCCCAGATAGAAACGATCTTCTTCAAAGTGCCTGAGCTCTACGAGATCCACAGGGAGTTCTACGACGGACTTTTTCCTCGCGTTCAGCAGTGGGGCCACCACCAGAGAGTCGGAGACCTCTTCCAGAAACTGGTGAGAGAAAGAAATGATTAGTCGACGGGGTTGGGGCGTTTTGGGGTTGTAGTTTGTGTGTCTGTACCCATGATAGCAGATGTCTGACCTTACCCTTAATCTAAGTGACAACATTGGACACACACAAAAGTTGACGGTATCAGAAAAGACATGTGGACGCAGACCCAAAGCAAAAGCACTGTGCCGGAGTGAAATAATTCACAGTAACGTTGTTTCTTGAATTGGGAGGCTTTCAGAAGCAGAATCTTTCAGCATAATTCAATAATAAACCAATAACAAAAACGTAGATTTGATTTTTCTACTGATGCTCTTCTTTATCATTTTAAATTTGGACAAATTGAATCTGAATCGCACTTTCTTTCCTATTTCCTCCTCAACAGCCGCTCGCTTGCTGTCTCTCTTCCCTCCAGTAGTTTCTGCCAAGGATGTCTGGGCCACATGTACACTGGGTCTATTTAATCATTTTCACAATGGGTCAATTAACCCACAATGAGTCATTTGTTAATTCTCTCTGAAATACTGCTCCTCTCCCACTAGTGCCTCCCTCACTTTCCCTGGGTCTCTCTCTCTCTCTCCCTCGCAGACTCGCTCGAATGCTCGAACACACACGCATACATGCACGCACACACACACAGACGGAGGTGCAGGCGTGTTTCACAATGCCGCCTTTCTGCCTCAGGCAGCTGAGGCCATCACTGCACTGTGTGCTTTGTGTCCTGAAGAAGCTGCTATAAATAGGAGCCCCTCTCTCTCTCTCTCTCTCTCTCTCTCTCTCTCTCACACACACTCATGCACACGCACACGCACTCTTATGAATTAATCTCAAGACGCTCCAATTGGGATTTTGCAAAGAAATTAGGATTTAATTTGTATCTTTTACCGCCAATGACTCATTTGCCAAAATCCATTTTTTATAATTACTTAAAAAGCTTGTCTATATATTTCCCTCCTAAAAACTGCTTCACTGTTACATTAGCTTTTCTATCAAACAAAACTGCCCCACAAAGAAGTGACGTCATGGTTGTGATGTAGGTAAACCGTAAAGGAACACATGCTCACACAGTTTCTGCCGCATTCTCTCCCTCTCCCCAGACAGACGTCAATAAAAGTCAGGAGGAGAAGACGCTGAGTCTATCAAAAAGGGAAAGAAAATGCTACATGACAGCCGTTCCGTTAGGAGGTGAAGAGGGAGGGAAGACGAGATCAGATGAGAGCAGAGGAGGCGATACAGTCGAGGAGTGGGGCGAGGAAGGGTTGAGAGAGGATGAGAGTCGGGGAGGCAAGTAGATTTAGGCTGCTCTGATAGAGCTGTCTCACCATGACTCTGAAGTCTGTGAGGGGAGCAGATGGATATAGGAATCATAAAACATCAGAACAAGGAAGAGGAGAAAAGAGGAAGAGGCAAAGCGTCACTGACAGGTTATATGAGTGTCTGAAGAAGTGTCTGAAGGCTGGAAATAGGGCTAAATCACACTCCTGCTCTTCGTAGACACGCACAACATGCACAGTAACAAAGTGGTGGTTTTACACCATGAAGGCAGATGGATAAACTGGTTCAGAGATGGAGGACCAAAAAAAAGGCTGATTCTATTAATCTATAGAAGAATGATCCTTTATTTGGCCTCAGACGTCCAACATAAAGATTGGTCTTTGCTCTGTTTTTTCCCCCAGTGACGACGTTTCTCTAAGGTTCATTCAATGTGTCAGAGAATAGAGCGCTGAAGGCATGACATACTTTTGTAGGCCAACCAGGAAGTTAGCATCGCACTGGTTCCCTCGACATAAAGCCGATGGGACTTTTCCTTTGGGATATTGAATTATTGCATAAAATAAGCTCTGTGGCAAACAAACGTTGACGATACTTACACGCTTTGTTCAAGCATGGTCATCTTCATAAAGGAACACCACTTTTATGATTTTTGAAGAGTGAATGCAATCGGTAGAAGTAAAGATGACGTTATGCTTTAAACGAACAACACCACGGTCACATGACTTGACATCACCACCACTAGGCTAAAGTTGGGCCAGTGTTCAACGTCATGACATTTAGTTGTCTCATTTTGTCACTTGTAAGCAACTGCCTTTTTTAAGACACGTAAAAGCGTCAAAAGTCACGCGTGAGATATTTTAAGTCATGGAACAAAATCTGAAAATCTCCTGAGCGTGTGTTAACAGCAGACCTAATTTCAGGCATCTAACCAAAAACCCATTGACAAGGAAACCAGCTCTCTCCGGGGTTTTAGGACTCATTCCTACAGCCCACTATAGGCTAAATCTGCTTGTCTACCATCCTACGCATGTGGAAAAGATAATTGAACAAACTATGTTGTGGGACGAAAAGGTTCACTAAGATGTGTCTGGGTGTGGGACAATTACTTTAACTGATTGATAACTGCTTTGCTGACACATCCTTGATTCCCCCTCGGCTGTTCCTGGGTTTCGTCAATTTTAATTGCAGCAATCTACCAAATCCAGGTTTTTGGATAAATCACAGATGATAAATTGGACATGTAGATGTCGAATCATGTTAGATTTTGGATCTACAACACCTGGTTACATAGCGCAGCCAGCATAGCTGTAGCAAATAAAGGATCTTATGCTCTGTCTTTTCATATCATTGCAGAATAAACAGCGCTTTACTCCTGTGTAAGAAAATATCTAGTCTGTTAGAACTCCCTTACAAACCCAGTGGCTAAATCCATCCTTCTCGTATAATGGCCGTAGTCTGTCATGAGGCTGTTTTCGTAATGTTGTTTTCCGCTGTGGATTACACACATACTCTCACACAGGACAAATCCCCAACTGAGAAATCCAAACACCCAAGCAGTTTCTTTCATCACCCAAAGTCCTTCTCTAGCTACGATACTGTAGCTGCAGCCCCACACTCGATAAGCCTTCGTGGCGATGTGTGCGGCTCTGTGGATGTGGCTGCCAGACATTCGGGTTCTCCGCTCTCTCCGCAGTCAAACTGTCACGCTCTGAATGGCCTCCGCTGTGGTGCAGATTGTGTGGCCCAGGGCAGGACACGGGATTGCAGTATTGTAAAAATTGCTTTCTCCACTTTCCTTCTTCCTACTGTAGTGTGTAGGATATATGTGCACGCATTGTAGAGCCCTTTTGGAACTATTACGCTGCTTATTTCAGTCGTGTGTTCGATTCTTTCATGGTGGCTCGCTGACTTTTTTTTAAAGATCTAAGCGTACACACTACACATAGTAACTGCCAGTGACAACATGAGAAGTGTAGACAATGTTTAGAAAACTTGTGACTCCACATTCCTGCCAGAATTGAATCTCACAACCCCCCATGACTGCAAAGATCAGGGCATGGTAGAAAGGTCAGGGCCTTGAAATAGGATGGAAGGGGACTTTGAGACAATACTAGTGATTGACTCACAGATGTGTAGTAGTCCTTTATTTGTAGACCACTTCTAATCTAATTAGAAAGTTCTTCACACAAGGCCACAAATTAGAAATCAACAATAAAAGCACTGACTCGGCCAGACTGCTGCAGGTTGCCCCAGTGCCTCACGGCTGTAAAGTATCTGTGCCCCCCAGTTTTAAAGGTTCATACTTGGGGCTTTTTCTAACCATCATTCCCATCAGTAATGGGGCACTCAATCACACAAGGTGGTAAACAACTCTTCATTAGAGTTTACAGACCCACTTCCTGTTTCAGCTTTGACCTGCTGTACTGTACCGCAGTTGTGCAGGAAGAGTTTTCCTGCACAATCAGGGATTATTATCAACTTTTGGGCACCCTCACTTTCGGTTCCACCTCTAAATACAGTGGTTTAGATAATCTGACTACACTGTCGGCTTGTTAACAACCTGTCAGATCATCTGACTGCCTGTTTGTCACCTTGTCGAATTTCGTCATAGCCTTGTTGCCGTGGTCCAAGATCTCAGCGATGAGCACGGTGCCATCATAACAGATAGAAATAATGGCCGGAAATTTGAAAGTAAGACCCACGTTAAAACCTCAATTTACCTTTAAGCTTGGTCTTTGACATAGACAAAAGTAATTTGCCCAAATTACTGAAGCTCCACACAGGCCTATATATAAAATATAGCAATGCTACGGGTCATAATGAGCTTTAAAGGTAATAATTCATGTTTAATACACTCAGTACTCTCAGGTGAGATTTTCTGGGGTATTTGGTGTGTGTGTGTGTGTGTGTGTGGCTCTCAACGTTACACACAAAACCCATCTCCACTGTACTCGTTCCTCCTCTGGCTTTTGAGAATTGATTGTCCTTTTGTTCGCCGTCGAGACGGATGGCAGCGCTGGCAGGCAGCGTTTGGTGGAGTTTTATTCAGCCATCCCGCTTCCTAAATGTGCTTTCATAGCCTCCGTTACACCGATCATTAATTACTCACCCCTGCACGGTGCCGGGCCTCACTGGTTGCCAGGGCAACGGGCCTGGCTGTGAGGCGCACCGTGGTTACTGTGTTGTTGTTGTTGTTGTTGTGACCTTGTGTCTTTCCTCTGTTGGTGGTTTCGTTTGATCGTTGCAATGTAGCGTTTTCATAGTTGAGAGGCTTAAGGTGGTCTCTATAATGTCTATTGTAAAGATTTGTCCATTTGTGACGTTTATTTTAAACAACAAAACTTTAGGAAATGGAGGCTTTACAACAGTTCAGACAAAGATGTGCTGAGCAGGTTACATTATGCTGCTGCTCCATTTGTTTCTCTAATGTGTCTCCTTCATTAGTTTGTTGCCTGTATATGAGCTAAAAACACGAACAATCTCTTCCAAAATTACAGTCACTGACGTTTCAATATGTCAATATGTTCATTAAAAACCTCTGTTTCCTTTTCTCTCTCTCTCTCTCTCTCTCTCCATCAGGCCAGCCAGCTTGGAGTCTACCGAGCGTTTGTGGACAACTACGAGCTGGCTGTGGAGACCGCGGAGAAGTGCTGCCAGGCTAACACACAGTTTGCTGAAATCTCTGAGGTAAGAAGGATGGACGAAAGAATGGATAACAACACCAAGCAGGGATAGAAATATGTTTTTTTTTTATTGGAAGCTATACTGTAGATGTGGGGGAAAGAATTGGACAAAAAGCAAGTCGTTACTTGTTTAGCTCCTACCTCGGAGCTGTTGCAGGAGTTGAATCTGTGATCTCTCAGTTATCGGATCATTTCACCACCGTACAAACCTCCTTCATACCATCCAGTTGAGTCTTTTTTTTATGTGTGCAGCACATTTAGATATATAAGTACACGTTCAATTCATCGCAGGAGTGATTTTCACCATCACATTACACTTAATTGCTTCTTGTAATATAATATAATATAAGATATCCTCTTTCTGTACTCTTTTATGATTTACATGCAACTTTTCTTTCTCCAAATTCACAAAGCTGTCTGGCATAGTAGATCTCTAGTGTGGTTGCTGTGGTTATTACTATTATGTTAACATAAAACACTTTGTCTTGTGTAGCTGTATATTAATTCATTGTCAAAAAAGACTTGTTGCAGCTGGACAGTTTGTGAGATTGAGGCGGTGTCATCTGGTCACACAAAAATGACAAAGAGCATAACTGACTTGCAGCAGAGTGTTAAATGATGTGTTATTAGGGAAAGGAGCTGTTCTAAAAGCTGCTTAACAGTTTTGTCCCTGATGCAATGTACAGTTTTGTCCCTGATGCGATGTACTTACAAAACGCTCTGCCATTATTCACCCACGCAGCTTTTAGCACTTCCCTTCATTTAACTGTGCATGTTCTGCTGAATATTTCTATAGAAATGCAGCCAGAGGCAGTTTTCTGTGTGTGTATACGTGTGTTCAGTTACACGTGTGTGTGTGTGCGTGTGTGTGTGTGTGTGTCTGTGTGTGTGTGTGTGTTGTGTGTGTGTGTGCATCAGTTAAATGGTGGACAGTGCAGAGGATAGTTGGTCTCATTCTCATCACTGACAAGGAAAAATCTGAGCTCAGTATCACCTTCACAGATCATATATGAGCAGTGACGGCATAATACATTTGTATATTTATATTGTCCCGAAACACAAGTTCCGACAGCTTCAAGGCCTCACAATAATTTATTTTATTATTATTTTTATTTATTTTAACTATATTTAAAAACACTCATGCCTCAAATCTAGTTGTGCAGGCTGATTTTAAACGTATCTACATTCCTAGCAGTGTTATATTTAACCAATCTAATGAGGTTGGGAATTGTGAAAGTGATATTACAGCTTTTTTCTTTTTGTCCAGCAGCTACAGAAATGGGTTCAGATGCAGCCTTTAAAAAGGTTTCATCACTTTAAATATTACTCATTGCAGGAGGCATATTTAACCAAAGTATTTATATTCATACGAAGCAAATGTACACCTCTAGCTAAGTCTTTGAGCTTTTTTTTTTGTACATATTCTGACTTCACTTTTCAATGTTTTATGAGGCCTACCAGTTAGCGTTGAGGCTGGTGTCTACATGCAGGATGGGGGATTCATCATCGAGGGTTGTTAATGGCCAAAGTAATGATGCATGACTCCGAGCCATCTGAGCGAGATGGTGACGGGAAATTCTGCTGAGGAGGGCATAATTAATTTGGGAATGGATGACCTCAGTGCTTGAGGAAGGATAATAATGTCACTATGTTTTCATATGGATTAACTGTACTGAAGTGTTTTTTTTAAAGGTCTTTTTAAAAGGGTTTTCCTCGACCTACATTTTGTCTCCAAACAGAACCTGAAGGTGAGGAGCCCAAAGGACTCGAAGGACCAGACAGCCAAGAACTCTCTAGAAGGTCGGCCACATCATGCTGGTTTTCACTCACTCCCATCTATTAAATGGTGTACATGAAGCATATTGTCATAATTCAGACATAGAGTATAAACAATTCAGTCTGATTTCTCTCCTTTCTCATTCACAGCGTTGCTGTATAAACCAGTGGACCGAGTGACCCGCAGCACATTGGTACTTCACGTAAGTAAGAGGGAGTGCTGAAGCGCCAAGCAGGGATATTTTAGTAAATGTTTTAGTAAATGCCTCTATTGCTAAACCTTGTTTTGACTACTCGGTCTCCTGGGGGAGCTTTTACCTCAAGGGTCAAAGGAAGAGTATCTGACTCTTCAAGTCTTTATACTTTCTTTAAACATTTCCTTTTTTGGATTCAAGGGAAAATAAATGATATATATATATATATATATATATATATACCTAAATATGTGTTCTTTTAGCTGGACAAAATTAATATTTCTACATCTACCGCTGTACTCCAGGACTTGCTCAAACACACGCCCACCAGCCACCCGGACCACCCGCTTCTGCAGGACGCCTTGCGGATCTCCCAGAACTTCCTGTCCAGCATCAATGAGGAGACGACGCCCCGACGCCAGTCTATGACTGTCAAGAAGGGAGAGGTGAGCCTTCAGAGATTTACCAAACATTGGATGACTCGAGACGAGCCACATTTTGCTGCCTTGTTTTACACCTGATTGGCATGCTCTTCTTCAGACAGCTAATAAGCTGATTGATATGTTACTTGGCTGTAGTGCGTACTAATTTACTGAACTAAGACAAAGTCGTTTTGGGTTACTAGAAGACCTGACAACGCCTTTATGGCATGTTTTGTTCTGGCTTAAAATGTTTTTGTCTTAGTGCATCTCTGAAATCATGACTATGAAATGGAGCAAATAATAATGCATCATTGTCTGATTCATACAGACTGTACCTTTAATAAATTTGATTAACTGTTTCAACAAAAATAAGACTCAAAGGTGATACAACCCGCTCTACAGACGTAGACAATAGTCATTTTTATCATCAGTTCAACTCTTTCCAGCTCTGATGTTGAGCATGGTGATGTCATAACTCCGCCCTCTCAATAACCATGAAGTCTTTGCCGAATGAGTGTACAGGAGCCGCCAATCTGCAGCCTAAAGCAGAGCCCATGCCCTTATATGGTCATACCAGGGTTGCCTACTTGAGGGTGATTCTGTGTTTGCTCTGTGTCTCTCTTGTGGCTTCCCATCCCTCCATCTCCCCTAACGCGAACATGCACACACACAACCTACCCCCCCCTGCTGTCTCTGTCATCTCCGGAGATGACTTGACTCACACGAATGGACGCCTCTTGATTGATAGCTTGCGTGACACTGCCGTACATAATGCCTTGTAATGAGCCATCGGTCCGCTCAGACCGGCAGATTCCAAGTAAATTATTCATAAATGGAGGGTGGGAGCCAACGAGGGAAAAGGCTGTGACGGCTCCACCCTCTGCTCACAGTGGGGTCATTACCCCACCCTCTCTCCACACACACACACACACACACACACACACATTCCTGCTCTCTGTTCCATTCACTCGCTCTCTTTCTCGTTTGTCTTTTAACATGCACACGCACACGGGCACACACACTTCCCCTCCCATCCCTGCAGGCTCCAGTTCCATCCCAGTTCGTCCAGACCTCCACACCAGTCATCAAATATTTATTATGGATACATGAAAGCAGCGCGTGTAAATCAATGGAGCTCATTATATCGTACCTTAGGCTCAGAGTATATAATATGCCTGAGGTTTTTGTCCACATTTTGGGAACTGAGCTGCAACATATAACTCGCTTCAAAAGACTGTCGTTACCTGGAAAGTTGAGAAGATGATGTCTTACATTTAATGAAGAGGATGATGCGTAAATCAAGTGATAGCTTCAGCCAAAAATAATACAAAATAATACTTTAATCACTTGTAGTAGAGAAGATGTGTTCGTAATGCTGTTTCAATATCTGTAATTACATAAAAAGATCAAATGATTTGATCTACCAGGTCAGCGCACCCTCACCCTCTTAAATTGTCGCTCTGCTGAAGCTAAATCTGTTCTCTGACCTCTTCACGATGTCTGTGAACATTAAGGCAATAATGAGGGCTTGCCCTCATTATTGTTTACTCATGTTTTGTCAACAAAAATTTGATGAGTGTCGCCAAAATTATGTTTATTTCATTTTTACAGAAGGTTGCTAGCCTTAGCGATCGGTAGCGACACTGGGCTCAAAAACGTTAAGATAAGAAGATAAGAAAGAGGCCATTATAATGTGACCGGAAAATAAGAGGATTCAGGGAGCGCTGAAGTGTCACTCTTACCCTCCATGTGTACACAGTAGTGAGTAACCTGTGGTTTGTTTAGTGGAGGCATGCGAGAGCAGCACAAGTGGGCCCCAGAGGCCACGGCCCAGCCAGAAGAGGGGAGGGGACAAACAGAAGCTGCTTAATTAAAATGCAAATGATGGCGCTGCCTAAATCTCAATTCACCTCCTCGCTCCGCTTTGTTTTCCTGTGGGAAAGATGTGCTCCTGTGCTCCACTGTGTGTGTGTGTGTGTGTGTGTGTGTGTGTGTGTGTGTGTGTGTGTTTCGGGCAGAAATGCCAACCACTTTCAAGTGTCTGTATGTCTGTCCTTCACTCTACCATAACACAAACTGGCTCCCCCATATACACACATTGTTTTACACACACTGTACACAACAGCAAAAACACACAAGCGCCGAGGAACCCCTTCAAGCGTGTCTTCTAAAAATAAATATGGATCTTTTGTAAATTCATGCCATTACTCACGCACACGCTCTCAGCGAAGGCTCCTCCAAGAGATGGTCAATATTTAATCTGCGTTCTGTGCTGTCAGCTCGCTCTGCCTCACGTCGTTCTCCTTCCACGTTGGTGCTGCTGATGTTGCGGTCAGCTATTATGAGAAATGGAGAAAGTCAAATTTCTCCGACTGGCTGTATTAATGTCGTGAAAATGTCATCTGATGCGCTGAGACAGCTGGTTTGTTAAGGATGTCTTTTCCCCTCAGTAGCAGAGCAAAGCACATTTTCATATTTATCAGATTACTGATGTAGAATCTGGAATATGTGTCTGCGTTCGAAGATAAAAATATGAACCTTTATTAAACAAGAAAAAATATCTGCGGGCATTCAGAGGAATAAGTCAAAGCATTTATTCAGCATTAAAATAACATAACTCATGAGAACAGCATTATTTAGGCTATTATTGTTGGAGATGTTTTCTGTGCAGTATCTGATTCAGAAACACATTCATTCTGATTTGATGGAGTCAAAACCTCTGTGAAGGGTTTTTAATGCCATATTTCATTGTGCAGGTTAAACAGATGCTTTTGTGTCGCAGTATTCTAACGTCCAGTCTTGCTTTGTACCTTCAAATGATTCCCATTTACTTCCACAGTTTGAAGCCTGTACATCCCAAATCAAGCTGTTATCCCTCTCTTTATTTTGTCTCTCTTTCATGAGATGAGCATGAGTCAGTGTTTGTAGTTTGTCAGTTGGGGTACTTTGTGTATAGTAATCCTTCTTAAGCTTTTGTACTTTCTGTTCAACAAACAGAATTTGTGTTGTCTTCTCCGATTACCATCCATAGAAAAAATAATAATTTAAGATTAAATACAAACTAGATTTTTGAAGGAGTAAAAACACAGCTGCACTGGCCTCTGTGGGACGAAAGGTAGACTGTAAGTCTCTTGAACCTCTGGCCACACCCAACGTCATAGCTAGGTTTTTACAATACTGTACTCAGCTGTAGGCTACTTTGTGTTTATTGCTAATTAGTACATGTCAGCATTCTAACAAACATTACAATCTACACTTTGACATTGCAATCACGTGCATGTTAGCATGCTAACGTCAGAATTTAGCTCAAAGTGCCTAACGGCGCTGCTCTGTCTGTGGAGTCTCTATATCTATTTATATATTACATATGGAAGTTTAATCTGCTGAATGTAATTGGCAATGGATTAAATGCCCTTTGAACCTTAAATCCGCGATCACATTACAGCGCCCAATTGGATCACAGTGCTGGTGTGCTGTACATTGACGGTGAATTGGTGCTTTTCATATACATGTATAGCTTCACAGTATAGCATAAGCTCCAGTATGCCTCATTCCTAATGTTGTATTTGAGTAACATGCCAAAACCAAGCGGCACATTGTGACCAATGTTTCATTCTAACTACTGTACTCGCCCTAAATATAGACCAGCATGACAGCATGTAGATTGATAGAAGTAAGGCAAGACAGAGCCTTGTTTTATATTCTAGTGAGATGATATCCTCAGGAGATTACACTGCATGTGGAATCACTTCATAGATGTGCCATTCTTGTGGCTTCAAAGTCCCAAAACCCAAAGATGGAGACTGAATGATGGATATTACAGTAAATGCCTACCAGAGGCTCTTTATGAAGAGCAATTTCATCATACCTCAGTCTGCATTACAACACAAACTGGAAACCGGAAATTAGATGTTGTGTGCGCTCTGACAGATCACAGCATCACAGTTGCCATTAGAGAAATATGCCAAATAGACCACTGCAGTGGGGCTGTCACATGGTTTTGGTATCAGTACAGTAAGAAACTGCGGCGTGACATGTATCCCATAGCTACTCTGTCTCTTTCCTTACTTTGTCCTTCTCTCCATTTTCCTGAAGCCACTTACTTTCCTTTTGATATACTCTCAGGCTCACTCTGTCTTTTGTCCCCCCCCCCCACTTCACCCTCTCCATCATGCACAAGCGTCCGACTGACACGGCAATGGTCCTTTACCAGCAGACGTCCGGTCAGGTTTTGTAAGCACATAAACCTCTCCTACACAAGCATCAGTGTGTTCTGCTGCTGTGTGGTCGTGATGCAGGTGGGAGGAGGAAGGGGACAGGAGAGGGGAGGGCACAAAGATGAAGATAGGGATGTGATTGGTTCTGAACAAGTGTGATGTCAGGCCTTGCCGAGAGGGCGTTGATGTAAGGTTGGCTAGGTGGGGTGCTGCTGTGGCCCCTGGAACAACATGGAAGTGAATAGGAAGCCCTGCGAAGAAAAGAGATTTTGTTTATAACGTAAAACATGCTTTAAAAGTGGAAAGCAAATCTTGGTGGCAACTGTATTCTCTGATTTGCTTGGTTTGTATAGCAGTAGATGGACTGTAAAACCCCTTATTTCTGCATATTGGTAATGTTATAGCCCATGAGCTGCCATTCCGCTTGTGGCTATTTCTTACTGACAAGAAACCTGCTCCTCAAGTGTTGTCCGCTGCAGCACCGCCTCTTTAATAATTAACGCTGAATTCAATTATTTGTTTGTTCGAACAAAATGCATTTTGTAATTAAAACAAAATATCAGCTTAGACAGATGGGTCCAAGTCAACGTGGGTGACTAATCCAAATTATGCAGACACTTTTTCAAATGTTAAAAACACACATTTTTGACTTTTGAAATTGATTTGTTTCCACAATGCATCATGTGTGCAGTCAAAAGAACAAAAGCAAGGGTAAAAATGTACTATACTGTGTATTTATGAGGTCACTTCCCTCACTAGATCCTACCTGCTTTGTTTGCCTGCGTAGTTCAAATACAAAATGTTATTGTATTGTCAGTTTTAACAGTAAACCTCTCCTGCCTAACCGTTTATACTCCGCACCACAAGTAAAACCCGTGTCATGAGCTCGTGAAGGTGGGTCGTTTACTACTGATTTGTGGTTTGCCATTTCTCTGCTCCGTGTTTTATTGTTCCAAGTCCAAATGTGTTTTCTTACTTGGAAAATGACATCACTGTCCCCTTTTGGCAAATGACAGTATTACACATCTCATTACATAGTCTGACATCAGCAATTCCCAGTCTGCCTTTACCTCATTCATTCCTCTACAACCTGGATTATCAAACCAGAATATGACAAAAGCATTTACCAGGTGATTAGTGTAATTAATGCAAATGAATGCAAGACCCTCCACACTTTTGAGGTAATGATTTGGTTCGTATTGAATGAACATTATTCGGTTGCACATGAGCTTTGTCACGGATGATTAGGTAAAACGGACATTTTTTTATGAAGGAGCACCAAGAGAAACTTAAATCTATAGTCTCCCTGGCTCCCTCCTTGCCTCCACTCTGTTCTTTGTCACGCTCGTAAAAGAGAGAAGGAATACAGCTTCGGGATGCGGCACCAATATATGTTGTAACAGTGTTACTGACCAACCGCTGTTGTTTGTTGTCGTCACAGAGCCGTCAGCTTCTGAGGGACAGTTTCATGGTGGAGCTGGTGGAGGGCGCCAGGAAGTTGCGGCATGTCTTCCTCTTCACTGATCTGCTGCTCTGCGCCAAGCTGAAGAAACAGATCGGAGGGTAAGAAACATTGCAAATGACAGTTTTTTGTATCTTAGCAGCCGTAGTGAAATCCCCAAAATGCATAGATTACCAACAATGCAGTAGTTTGATAGTGCAGAAAATGGTTGGAATTAATTCTCCCCTTTCCACTGTCACCTTCCCCCCCATTCATCCACATCTTTGATCCATCTTTATCAATCCACTCCTCCCTCACATCCATCTTCTTTACTCACCCTTCACCATCCATCCCTTCTCTTTTTGTTCCTCTCCTCTTCCCAATACAGTAAAAACCAGCAGTATGACAGTAAGTGGTACATTCCCCTGACTGAGCTGACCTTCCAGGGCCCCGAGGAGACCGAGCCCCTTACCATCCCCCAGGTCCCCGACGAAGAGCTTGACGCCATGAAGGTCAAGATCTCACACCTCCGCAGTGAGATTCAGAGAGAGAAGGTAGCGTCGATGAACACTGTTTTGCAAAAATATGTTCAGGAACTACGAAAAAAAAAAGTCTGACATTTGAAATTTGAAGTTTGGCCTCTGGGATTATTAAAGTGTTTCATGCTTATTGGATACAGAATGTTTCTAATATAAGGTGATCAAGGTAACGCATAAACACACCGTCAAACGTTTTCACCGCTGTGATTTCAGAGAGGCAACAAGGGTTCAAAAGTCATTGACCGTCTGAGGAAGAAGCTGTCTGAACAGGAGTCTCTGCTCCTGTTGACGTCTCCGAGCCTGCCCATCAGGGTCTACAACAAGAACGGCAAGGTGATAACACTCTCCAACTTCATCACCATCCTCCCACTGCTCCCCCCGTAGGCTTTCCTTCTCCAGATTTCATCTGTTCGTCTCATTTTACTGCATTTCTGTCGTCCTCCGCTTTATTCCCATGAAGCACAATATCCCCTAGCTTATCATACTTGGACTTTCTTGTAACAGTTTCTGTGTGATATCTTCCATCTGTTAAAGCTAGCTGGAGGCGGATTCATGAGTGTTGATATTATATGTTTGCACAGATGACACGTTTCTTTTTAATCTGCCTCTCCCCACATTAATCTTTGAGGTAATAACAGCCATTTTGTGTATGTGTTTGTGCTCAGGGTTACAGTTTCCTGATTTCGTCTGACTATGAACGTGCAGAGTGGAGGGAGATAATGAAGGAACAGCAGAAGAAATGTAAGTGTCCTATAAAATGTCCTGTCAGACAACATCTTCTTCTTATTTGCGAAGAACATCCAAGACACTTTACACAAAACGTTTAGGCTAAATGTGGATACGTGTACATTAGCAACTAATAAACCGACAACCTTGTGAAGGAGATAGAGAGACCAATATACAATGTCATTTACAGTCAACATTTATTGTCGTCCCTCAAGGTTTGAAAACTTCCTCCTTGACTTCCATGGAGCTGCAAATGTTGACCAACTCCTGTGTCAAACTGCAGACTGTCCACCACATTCCACTTAGCATCAACAAAGAAGGTAAGCTACTATTTTCTTCTTTTGAAAGTTGTGGTAACACTTTCAATGAAACTCATGTCTATAATGCATTATAAACACACCGGTAATGCATTATAATCTGCTTATAGTACTGTATAATTATAGCAATAAGCAACCTAAGATATACATATTGCCTCATAACGATCATCATAACACATAAAGCATTTTATAATGACTTATAAGATCAAGTATCCAAATACTTCATTGCTGGTCACTCATTGACAAGGATCATAGTGTATTATAATTCCCATAGTTGTAGTACATTATAATCTTTTTTTAAATACATTATAAGCATATACTATATGCAGTATAATCATGTAATGTATGTCTAAAATGCATTATAGATACTTGCAAAAAATAATTTGTGAGGGACCAGCAGATGGCAACCATGGGCAGTCTTTTTAATTAAAATGCTACATGATTATTTGATTTAGTAGATATTTCCACAGTGAAATGATTCACTGTTTTGGGCTCTATGTATAGATGTGTGGTTACACATTATATTCTTTTTCTGCATACATGTCTTGTCTGGCAGCTCTGTTCAAATGCGCGGAAAATTGTCCTGGAAAGAAATGTTTTTGATTAATGATAGTTGAGATTCAGATGAGGACAAAAATTGCACAGAGGTTTAAGCCACGTGTTTTGTGCTGTACACGGCTGCTTTATCCCTTCCTTCCATGTTTGATTCTGCTCCAAAACAAACAGAGATCTGCATGCTTTTATAATCCCCTCTCGCTATCTTTTTTTTCTTCTCTGACTGTTTTTCCAGAGGATGAATCCCCCGGTCTCCACGGGTTCCTGAATGTAATCGTTCACTCTGCCTCCGGCCTCAAACAGAGCTTGAGTGAGTCACGCACCTTTAGCCTTCATGCACACAACAGAAAATATATATAATCAGACAAAATGAGTTACTGAGAAAGCACAATTTTAATTTGACCACTGAGCAGTGGAAAACTGCATTTTACAGGGGGGGGGGGGGGTGTTTCTGGTGGAGGCTTTTAGAAGTACGTGTTTCCATCAGACTTTAATTTAGGTTCATCTTACAAGTTTCACTACTTAGATTTTGGTTTAATTTGCAGGAATTTACATTTTTTAAATTGTCGTTTGGTATATTTACTGAGTCGCAAAAACACCAACATTAAAACATTTGGACAAATTATACGTGACTTATTCCTATTTTGCTTTCTGGGGATAACATTTAGCCAGTTAAATTGCTACTGTCATGCATCCACAAATATCAATTCAGTAGCCATAGAAATGTCATATGTTTTCAATGCTCCCCTTTCTACCAGATCTCTACTGCACATTGGAGGTGGATTCATTTGGCTTCTTTTCAAGTAAAGCCAAGACGAGAGTGTATCGATACACTACTGAACCCAAATGGAACGAGGTAAGAGACTGTACTGTACATGTTCCGGTTGGAAGGAAATGTCCCTGCAGAGTCTTTATACTGTACATAATATAGCGGTCGGTTGATGAGTCAATGTAATGTCTACGTTGCAACCAACAGGCCTTCCAAAGTTAATGATGGAATGTTTACATGCACATTTACTTCTTGGTACAGTTTGTGCTGCCTGTTATGTATCTGACATCTGGTCCTGTAATCAGTAGTCAGCTGGCCATCTTCGAGTAAGCCCCTGCGAACATGTAACAAAACCACACGTGTACGCACACTGTACGCATGCAAGCAGACATACACACACAAACACGATTGCATTGATGGCACAGCTGGATGTTGGAGGTTAGCAGGGCAGAGGAGAGGACCCAAAGACCCTTTGAGGATTTTGCTCAGCAAAGTGGAAATAATATCAACTAATGAGGAGCTGCTGGTGATGACTCACATCTCTCCAAATGCTCAGTGAACCAACACAGTGTGAGCCACAGAACGACGTGCAAAACATATGCAGAGCGCCCCTGTACATAAGTACAGGGAATGTTGGTCAGCTGTGTGGTGGGATGTATAAATTAAGATGTAGGGTGGATGCAGATTTTTTTTCTCGGGGTCTATTGTCATTCTTGTTGTTATTTCCGTCTCCATTGTTGTCATTGTCCTTGAATGAGATGTAATCTCCCAACAAACATCTTCTTTTTCTTCCCCGAAGGAGTTTGAGATTGAGCTGGAGGGCTCTCAGACCCTGAGGCTGCTCTGCTATGAGAAGTGCTACAACAAGACCAAGCCGAACAAAGATGATGGAGAGAGCGCAGACCGCATCATGGGGAAGGGACAGATCCCGGTATGACATGACGTCACCCCCCCCCCCACACACACACATTCACCAGACCCAACATGACTCATTACTGATACGCAGTTATGTCACCACCACTGCCACAGAGCATGAAATCCATATTATTTGCTCAGTGAGCCACTTATACTGAGCATGATGTAAAAATTGCTGATTAGATTAATTACCCGAATATGTTATGGATGGGTGGCGGTTGGTTATATGGAGAGAAATCGCTGTTCCGAGGATGTGCAGAGTCTTTGATAGAATGACACAAAGCCTTTCATTTTCATGCCGTTGAGCTATCGCTGTGCTGCCAGGCTAAGCTGATTAAAGCATTGCTCGCAGTCCAGAGTCTACAACGGCTATCGAGCAACGGCAATGCCGTCCTGCACGTGCGGAAATGACGTCAATACCATCAGGTGCTCCGTTCGTTAAAAAGTGCCCAAAATCCTGATAAAACGGCAGAATTAAACAACAGAGATACTGTGAGACTGGCTGATCGCAGGTTAATAGCAGGCCTAGATATCAGGTGATTAGGTTGCCAAGACGACGCCAGCCTGCAGGATAATGGCAAGTGTCACTCAGGAGATCAACAGAGAGAAAGCAGAGATACAGGAGAGAGAGCGATGCAGACAGACGGAGAGATTTCGTCGGAAACACGAGTCTCGTCTTTGATTCACCCCCTTTCCAAAAACCTCCTTCTCCTGCTCCTCCACCCACAGCAGGGCAGGTGTTTGTGTTTGTCTTTGTGTGTGAGATAATACATATCTGAACAGTGTTTCACCTCACACCTCACACCCACAAAAACACACAAATGGATGTCTAAAGGTTTGTCTTATTTGGTGTTTTTCCTCAAACAAACTGAGAGATAAAAAGCTAGAAAAACGGAAGAAAATACAAATGAGAGTCCCCTTTTATACATGTGGTATTAAAATTAACCAGTCGTAGAAGAATGAAATATCAGCTTCATGTTATATTATCAGTATTCATTTTGAGCAGCCTGTATCCTTCACACTTTGTTCAAAAGTGCAGTAGCCTCACTGCCAACGGTGAATCACAGTCACGTGCTCCACCTAGTGGTTCCTTTGGTAATCCTGTGACAGCGCCACATCTTGACAGATGATGTCATTCAAAACAAACCACCCAGAGTGGTGAGAAAGTAGCTCAGCAGGATTTTCATAAATCCAGGGCAAGAAACTGCCGCTCTCGTCTTCAGCAGAAGCCACAGTGGCTGTTATTTCCCACAGATTACTGTTCAGTTTTAGTGGTTTACCAACCAAATGAATGTTTAGAATAGAATAAAATAACCATTAGCTTGCCATACAGGTGTACATTTACCTGCCTAGATCTGTTTCTAATACATGTACAAATAGTGCAATTTAAATGTTTATTTCTCTTCGTTCTCTATGCATAATCATAAGCAAAATGTATTGCGTCAATGTATTTCAATCCTTGTACTGTATGTGGGAATTTGAAATCTTTTTTTCGGTTCAAAATGCAAGCAGTTACACAAACAACGAAAGATAAGAGAAGGTTAATTACTCCCCACAAAACAGTACAGTCAAAGAACAGATGAGATTATTATGGAGATTATTTCATACAATATATACTATTTATTCAGTGTCTAAAGTCACTGTGAGCAAAAGTTACTATATTCTTATCATACAGTACAAATGCCAAATTCTATTTTTGATCATACACTTTTATATATGTTCATTAACCTAAAAAACATACACAGTTTTCAGGGTTTTTTCCTACATGCATGCATTGCAATGCATTTATTTTTTAAATAATAATAATAGGCCTGTCTCCATCTGAATGTGCTATAAAACTTGTTGTCTTCTTTCATCTTTTCTCGCAGTGTTTTTAAACTGTCTCAGCTCGTACTGTTTGCTTCACGTCAGCATTAAACACGGTGTAGTTTTACAAATCTGCGATTTATTGGAAATGTTGTTCAACAGCACATCGACCTTCAACCGATAAAAGGCTGTGGAAGATAAAATTGTATTTGTTGGCCAAAAACTTGAGCGTTAAAACATTTTTATTATGGAATGTAATTCTTTGTAGATAAACGGCTCAAAAGAGCACTCTCAGCAGTGAAAGATTCAGTTATGAGAAACATGATCCAGCTTTGCGCGCTACCAGAAGAGGCTTAGGTAAACATTCAACATACAGTATACTGTGTTTATGTTTATTGGGTTGTGTTAGATCGGTGTGTGTACTCAGACTGTATTGCCCCAGATGGCATGTCTCTACAGATCTGAGTGTTTTTGTGCATGTTTCGGTGTGAATTTAGTCTCTTTGAACAAGTTAGGTTTGTTTATCATATTTATGAGAATACATTAAAGCGACAACAAAACCACCTTTGAAAACATTCCACTAAGATGAAGGGAAGATTTTTACTGTTGATGCAACTATAACTTTATGCTCTATTTAATCTTAGAAAAAGAAAATAAACATTACAAGTCCATGGCCTATAGACCTCCTTAATGTTGTACATGTCTAACAGATAAACAGACACATGGGTAGTGCTGGAAGAAGTTTTACTTCAGTAAAATTTCCAATGCAACAATGTGGAACAACTCCATTACAAGTAAAAGTCAAAATCTTAAGCGTGATTGTACACCATTTGAATTGTTTAATTTTTAAAAAAGTGAATCACTAATGATGATCTAAAAGGATCAACTGTGTGGATGTTATGAAATACCTCTGCAGTTCAAATAAAATGTCCCTTAATATATGCTAACATGTTTTGTCCTTTTGTGTTATCTCCACCAGCTTGACCCTCCGACTCTCCAAGGCAAAGACTGGCAGAGGACAGTTATTCCCATGAATGGGGTGAGTAGATTGATTCTACTTTTTCCTATATTTCCTCCCCCAGTATTTAAAAATTGGCAAATTTGCTCGCTATCTAGTTTCTCTAAATACTCACAATACTCATAATTTCCCTGTTATGTAAATCCAATGCAGCCTTACACTTGTATTATAGTAGCACACGGCGGTGAGGACTATTTGAAACAATTTCTCCAGGATGTGGTTGATATCTCTGTGAAGTCTACATCTGGTTTTGACATGGCAGGATTTCCTCAAGATCATGGGAAGCCATTGCAGATGGATGTCAAGCTTGTAAACCCGTTTTAACTTCAAGCCCTTTTTTTCCTGTGTCAGATCGAGGTTAAACTTTCCATGAAGTTCACCAGCCGAGAGTTCAGCCTGAAGAGGATGCCCTCACGGAAACCCATGGGTGTGTTTGGTGTCAAGATCACCACAGTGACCAGGTGAGTTGACATTTAAACACACGGATACTACCTAATTATAAGTAACCATCTGATCACCTGTACTGTTAAACCCCAAACTGTTATCCTTGCATCCATTGGTCTATCGGTCTATCAGAGCACATTTGTATTTGTTAATGGCGTTCCTCAGGGCTCGATTCCAGGCCTCCTCTTCTTCTATCCATTCTCTGTGCTAATATTTTTGTTTCTTTCCTCACATCCTACATTATGCTGAGGGTTACATTTTATATACTTTTTCTGTAATTTGAGTGACACAAATGTTAGAGCACCTCACCCGTGTTTGCCTAGCTGCCATCTCCAGTTGGATGGATGTTTGTCCTGAGGACTTTCTCATCAGCATTAACAAATCCACCTTCTCCCCTGTGATGACTGCCAAGTGTCTCATTCTTATCCTAGACAGTAGCAGGCTCTCTGTAAAGAGTTAATTCGGAATTTAGATTGTTTTAGACCATTATTTAAGAAGATTGGGAGTCTACAGTCACACACAAAGAGCTCCGCTGTGGGTATTATATTCCCATTTTAACCATTACCATTATTTGCTAATTACCACTAAAACATTCCTACCTTCCTGTCAGCCTGCCATTGATGCTACTCGCAGACTTCACACTTAAATATTTGAACAATTTGTTGCCTTAATTTCTTTTGTCAAAATAGAAGGAGGGAGACAGTTGGGGGGGGGGGGGGGGGGGGGGGGGGGGAGGGGGGGGGGGGGGGGGGGGGGGCATGTAGTAGAAGCTTCAGTGTGTTGTGTTTGTGGCCATTGTTGCTGCTGATGAATTACAAGGGGGTTAACTAGATTTACCAGCAAAATCAATTAGTGCTACAGATAAATAATGTAAACAGAAACGCAAGCAAAGAGCCAGAGGAATAACTGGCCCCTCAAGTAGTCATAACAATGCAAAACACAGCCGTGTTCATTTTGTCCTTTTTTCTCAATAAAACAAAACGTTAAGTGCCTCGTTGTTCATTCAGTATTCATGCTGTTCAGTGTTTCCCTTAATATAAATCATAACATAATCATTCATGTTTGTCTCCATCTAGGAGAGAGCGCTCCAAGGTGCCCTACATTGTCCGGCAGTGCCTAGAGGAAATTGAAAGGAGGGGTATGGAGGAGGTGGGCATCTACAGAGTATCGGGAGTGGCCACTGACATTCAGGCCTTGAAGACCGCCTTTGACACCAGTGAGTACACCCTTCATGTCCATACAGTAGGTGTCTCCATACAGTAGGTATCTCCATATAGTAGCTTTCTCCATATAGTAGGTATCTCCATACAGTAGTTGTGGAGATGAAGTAAAAATCTCTTTGATTTAACTCATACTGCTGTCGCCTGTAAGCGTCATGGTTATAAAAGTGTAACTGCTATGCATTTCTAGGAAAGATGGCTGAGAAGATTTATTGACCATCACCCGAAGGAAACACTTTTTCTAATCTTTCTGTTTCTGTTGATCAGGTGATCATTGTTGTAGCTCTGTGTGTGTGAGACTGTGAGTTAACGTGAGGCGTCTTCTCTGCTGTCAAATGATTAACCAGATGTATGAACTAATTCCGTATGACCTTGCATTTGCATTTTGTGTGTGTGTGTGCTATTTTTGAATGTATCTTGTGTTGAGTGTGTGTACTTTTCTGTCGTTCTGATGGAAAACAAGACTCATGGAGACTGCTGCCTGTGCCGAGGTGTTTCCAAGTCGTATCGCCTTCCTTTGGTGGCCACAACCTCCTGTCTTCAATGTTGTTCTTGTCTCTCTCCTGCAGATCATAAAGACGTGTCGGTGATGATGAGTGAGATGGACGTCAATGCCATCGCTGGGACCTTGAAGCTGTACTTCAGAGAGCTTCCAGAACCGCTCTTTACTGATGACCTCTACCCCAATTTTGCAGGCGGCATCAGTAAGTGACAAACACAGCTAATTATCAGTAGTTGCAACTTCTAGATGTCTACTCAGGTATTCAGGTAAAAGTCCTTCATTTGTAGTACATGTAAAAATCTCCCTTTTTTTCTGTGCAGCCCTGTCTGATAGTGTTGCCAAAGAGAGCTGTATGTTGAACTTACTGCTGTCACTGCCCGAGCCCAACCTGGTCACATTCCTTTTCCTCTTGGATCACATGAAGAGGTAAACACACACATGCTTGCATAATATATAGAGAGGGATGCCTACAGACGCATGCACAACAACAAGCCATACATATACAAGAGGTGCAGTCAACTGCACCAAGCACATCCAGATAGATTATAATTTAAAAACCTTTTTTGACATTTTCAAAAAAACTTGCAAATGGGAGAATTACTGTTACTGTTTTCAGGATGGCGTACTTGTGTGTGGTTTGGTTCCATCATGCTGCATTTACAATATTAAAGCAAATGCAGTCACTACTACAATGGTGAAAACTGTTCATCACAATGTCCCTTTTCAAATATCTTTTCTCTACTACTGTAGGACTTTTAGTATCTCTGATATTCACATTTTGTAGGCGCAACACACAGAGATCAATCACTGCACATTAACATCACCTTCGTGTGCTCCTTTGATCTCTCCACACCACTAATGGACTTGTCTGTCATTTTATCCTCAGGGTGGCGGAGAAGGAAAGCATCAACAAGATGTCGCTCCACAACCTGGCGACGGTGTTTGGGCCGACCTTGCTGAGGCCTTCCGAGAAGGACAGCAAGATCCCCGTTAACCCCACGCAACCCATCAGTATGGGGGACAGCTGGTCCCTGGAAGTCATGGCGCAGGTGCGCCATAAAGATCTTCTTCTGGCATTTTGTTTTTGAATTTTGTGAAGCTTTTTCAGAAAAAGTTGCTCCGCTAACTGCAAGCTCGAGCAACCAAAACCTCATTTGTCTTTCTTCCGTTTTTCTTTTTTCATTGCAGGTCCAAGTGTTGCTGTATTTCCTCCAGCTTGAGACGATCCCCACCCCGGACAGTAAACGACAGAGCATCCTCTTCTCCACCGAAGTATAGAGCTAACATTGACTCTGCCTGAACCTGAGACTTTGACAATGAAGGAGTGAAATTGAGAAGGACCGTGGCTCAAAGTGAGCCTGTAGTAGTATGCTTTTGAATTAACTGATCAGATTGCATTTGGCTCTCGCAGCTGGAAAGGATTGTCTCTGACGTTGCCTGCCTCCCTCAAACACAGGAGGGCGCCACTGGTCTTCGAAGCTCAGAGGATGCGAGGTCCTTGCGGTTCATATCTCCCGTTACCTGATATTTAATATGATTCCCTCTACCTTCAGTGATGATGTGGAAGCGTCTGCCCTCTACATTTCTTCACCGTGCTCTTTGCTGGTCCTTTACAGCTTGTTGACGGTTGTGGTTCGTACAGCAAGAAGTTGTCAAAATCAGTCCATAATAGAACGGAATACGTCTTTCTTGACAACAGATCAGAAATTCCATGTACCTTTTTGTTTGGGCATTATCCTCTATCTTTGTTTATTTTGGATAATCATCAGCTCTCAAGACAAAATATGTTGATCCATCTCAAACATTGCATCATGTCCTGCTGCATGACCTTACAAAACCTCAGCACATTGTTACAGAGAAGACACGAGGAAACATTTGTGCTGTTTGTAGGAGTTTAAAAATGAAGATCCAGAGCTGCCACAGTACTGGCTTTTCTTCTTTGTGTAAGGAAGCCAACACCTGTGTGCTGAAGTGTTTACAACGTAAACAAACCCCTAAACGCTGCAGCTTAAAAAAGGGACTGTAAGACATTTTAAACATTAGTAATACACTGCAATCTGACTGCCTGCGTTTTTTAAGACCATAAAAGCAAATTTCCTGTTATTGTGTTGTTTGTGTCTCAAGGTAGTCTTCAGCTTGAATATAGGAAGCAATATATTTTCTAACATAGGATGTCTGTGTTCGCACCTTTGCAGACGGAATGTCCTTGTTATTGTAACATAGAACATCTTGCCAAATTAATATGTTGTTCATTTGTTTCTAGGAGAAAAGGAAGCAGTTGTATTTACAGATACAGTATGTACATAATCTTAAAGTTGTATTTTTTTCTTTCTTTTTGTTATACAGTATAATCATTGTTGCTATTATTGTAATTTATTTTGGGGGGGGGGCTTGGGGGGAGAAATTGGTTCGTTTTTTTCTATGTGAACGTTATTTTTTCTGTTTGATTAAGAAGGTGGTAGGTCTTAGCCTTGACTTCAAGTCCTGCAGTAAATAAGCAGGATTTAGCCTTGTTCTTATAGAATTTACTCAGCTGTTCTGTCCAGCCTATCGATTATTCATTTAGATATTATTATTATAAAGGTAACACACACATTGTAGTTACATTACTGTATGCTGCTGTGGAAAAGGCACAAGCTCTTTAACTGCTGGGTGTTCCTCAGCAGAGCGTCTCACATCCAGAGGCCTGTCTAGTGTAGACATTATGCAATGTCATAATAGAGCACACACACACACACACACACGCATATGACATTGTCTCTTTTTTTGTACCATTTAATCTGTGGCTGCAGAAGTGCACTCATGCGATGTTAGAACTACTGTATTACATTTCAAGTAACCTGAGAGCACTCTGCATTCATGCCCATTGAAGAGCATATCTGTTGGTTATAATGAAGGAATATTATTTTGTTTCATCTTCTCCTGACGTCTTTTTTTATTTATCTCATGCATATGTTCTCTAACTGTTCTTCATCCCGTTAAGCCTGAAGGTGTCCAACTCAATGGCCAATTTAAAGCAAAACTATTAAGACATTTTGTTGATTCTAAAATGATGCATTTCTCATTTTGAATTTCCGTGTCCTTGATTTAACATGCAGGCATGTTTTATTGTTGTTTTTTTTCATTTTGGTCTTGTTATTGCTGTCTTGTTCACACATGTGTTATCATAGACTTTGGGATTTTGGTAACCCGTGAGTATCTTGGTTTACATTATTACAGCATGTCCTTTTCTGGCCAATTTAAAGAACACGTTCACAGAGTAAAGAGTAAACATCACTGTTGGTTTTCCACATATATATTAGGCATAAAAATATAACCAATTGACCAGTTTAATGGATCTGATAAGGGCTCGTGTGTGGTTGTGTCCATGTTTAAGATAACGCAGGGAGCGGCGTATATGAGAAAATGTTATTCGTAACACATTTAAACTTTAAGGAGTCTTTCCTCTTGGATCCATATCAGCTCTCTTGATGTTAAGTCATTTACACTCAAATGCACATAATAATATAGACTAAACCATCATTATTCTATCAACCCCAGAAATATCAGTTGAGATTTTTTCTCCATGACTTTTTATGTGCTTTCACTAATTTTGGCCTATTGTAGCATGCAAACAATGTTTCATCATCTAACATGTTATGATGTGAGACAGAGAATGAATCCACCATACATTCATTCATTCACCTTTATAACAAGTCCCGATTGCCTACACTATTTTACCCGATCGTGCCTCGACACTTTCTTTTGTTTTTGGTTTCGCGCCTGTGGTTTTCTGAAACGTTGTTCAGTCTCCTGTTGCCTTTGCTGAGGACAGCCACACACCTCTCATCTCTTAAAGACTAAGACAGGACCTTAACCTTAAGCATGGTCTTAGCTCACACATGCCCGCTCTACTTGCCACCTTCATCTGACTGTGATGATGTAATTGAAAATGTTTTAAAGTCAGTCTTAATTGGGCAAAGGACAGACTTTCTTGCCCTTCTCCTTGTTTGGCTCTTAACATTTCCTCTCCTTTAATGCCTTTTATTCTTATTTATTTGTGCTTTGTCCCTGTTCGGTATAAGAAGGTCTACTGGATCTATTTATTTATGATATAATATCATCTGAAGATAAATTAATGTTAGAAAAATATGGTCTTTGTATGGTGTGCTTTCTTTGGGGAAATGTAAGTCTTACGTTACAGTCTGTTTATTGAACATCCTGTTAAAGTTACAACTGTTTGTCACTATCTTGTTCAAGAATCACAACCACTGTGTACAACTGCAAACACCTTTGAACTCCCCAAACTCCTGCAGCGTCGGCTCATCTCCGTAGTTAGATAGTGTTGTACAACAGACTGGCCACTGTGATTGTTTAGCTATCTGATCTAGATAACTGAATGGCAGATGCCGGTTCCTGTCAATTTAAAAGGTAGATTCCGTGAGTTCGCGCAACTCAAACTTCTCTCATTTTCCATGGAGTTGTATAATATGTATTATACTAGAGAGTACATTATTTGGTTTCCGTTTTATTTATTGTGGTCGTCCACTGACGCATTGTCGTCAAAGGGTTGAGCCGGTACGCCTCTAGTCTCTTTGAAAAGCCAAGCTGTCAGTACGTGGTAGAGGACAAGAGTCGTATATATTGCTCTAAAATCTGCATTGTTTTTTGGTCTGTTGATTGTCAGTGTAACTGCATGTACCCTCCATAACCTCAGTTCCTCTGTACATGAAAACGTAAATACAGTAGAAAAGGTTACATTTTTCTGTGGAATAGCCTGAAGATATGGAACATATTGCTCTATATGAAAGTTACGAATCTCGTCCATTTATTGTACATGACCCTGGTAATTATCACATGTCCATGCTGTAGTTAAAACTATCAAATAACCCTCTACTGCCACTTCTACGACATCCAACTGACTAAATTTGACTACTTTAACCTTTGGAAACATGATAGTTTTGTTTCGACGCTTAACGCATAAAGCTGAGGATGAGACTTGCTGACCAACCACTTTTTACCTTCCTCAATTTTTTGAACTCTTGTTCCTGTTCAATATTAAATGTTCTGCTTGTAGAACTGTAAAAAGGAATACCGTATTCTGAGGGCAAACATGTTCGGAAGGCATTTGCAGCCTGTTTGTACACAAAAATGTTAAATAAAATCTCCTTGTAACTACATAGAATGACGTCTTTGGTTTTCTTTTTTAATTTGTGACTTAGCCTGCAGCCTGGTAGCTTCCAGGTGAAAAACTCTACACAACATAAGAACGATTACGCCATGATGGACTTGGCATGAATACAATAAATTCTGAATGTCATTTTTCCTGATGTTCACATTATATTTAGTGCATGAATGATATTATCTATCCAGTGACGAACAAGACTCGTGATGCATTTGAAAGAGAATGAATAATAATAGAAATGACTTATTAAAATCATTTTTAAATATATAAACTTACAAGCAAACCTTTTAATGGAAATGCTTGAGGTTGACTCCCTGTGTTCTCTGTTCAGGAAAGGTTTCACTTAAAATATAGCAATACTTAGTTACACGTACAATATATTAATGTTATCAACATAACTGGAACATGTCTTATATTTATAGAGGCTTTCTTTCTTGCATGTTTCAATATATTGAAGCATGCAGACATTGAATGATAGTTTTAATCATGAGGTGTGTAAAAAGCTTTTATGAGTTAATGGGATGCAGCCCAATATCGGCTGGGAGGGCAATGTGGGTAGACATAGTCCTTTTTTTATTTTGAGATGCACTCAACTTGAAAATGGTAGTAGTTAAGACTTTTATAGAGCCCATCATTTTACTGCCTATTGTAAAATCTTTCAGATGCAGGACAACAGCAGGGACAGAGAGAAAACGAGTGACTCCCACTGGTTGAACTCAGGTCTAGCAGGTTGAGCTTGTCACTGAAAATTGACTGTTTCAATATCTATACTCCCATTAAGTATGGCAGGAAAATACTTAGTATGCCGAGAATGTCAAATGCAGTATGCCAAGATACCAGGATGTACTTTCCTACAGTAGCATTTTGCAATATGCAAGCCAGCGTGCTTTTCTGGCTATTCGGACCCACAATCCTCTGCGTAGCAGATAAATGAGTAAGAAGGTCAAAGTTCAAGGTGCAACGTTGAATGACAAAGTAGTATGTCTCAATTGAATGCACAATGGAATATAACAGTAGATACTTTGTAAGTGCAGCTGCAGTACATACTAAAAGGAAAAGGAAAAATCATGCGATTTGGAACGCAGTGCTCATGTTGTGATAAGAACCGGTCCGGAGGCGGTGCTGTGTCAGAAGGAGAGAGAAGCGTGAGGGGCCGATAGCTTGATCAGAGCCTGCATATATGGGACTAAGTTCAGTTGTGAGCCCTTTGAAATTACCTGCAGCAGAACCCTGGGCTCTCTGCTGACAACAATTGTATGTCTGAGTGAAGATGGGAGTTACCTTGCTCTTAGCACAAATATATTTACAGTACCATGATGCTTGACATATTTATGTTAAGTTAGAATGATGTACGTTGTGTTGGTTCTTGCCAGTTATAGGCCTGCCTCACCTGCCCTGGCGTTCCACGTCTATAATAAATAACAATTGAAATGGACTCTTCCACTATCTCATTGCGCCTGACAGCACATCCATAGTGTTAATCACATTACCTGATAATCAGCAAACCCCTCATACAGTCCTGATTGAGGAATATTCTACAATATAACTTTTAAAAGAAGAATTGAAGGACCATTCTCTTATAAATACATTGATGAACCCACAAGCAGTAAAAGGCATTGTTGCTAATACCCTCAGCAGTTTTTGCTATTAAAGCCTCACTTGGTCTGGTTTGACCAGTAGCTTATGGTGGCTAATGTTAGCTACACTTAGCGAGATATAGGCCTAGGTGTTGTTGTGTAACTGTCATTTCACAGTAGTTTCGCTGACTTTATAACTTCCCTTTCTGCACTAACTTCGAGCATTTATTGTCTAATAATTTCCCCATGTGGTCGAAACAGCTGCTGTTCACGTTTTAACCGGCCATGCTTCTGGCAGGGAGTCTTTAAGAATAGTGTTATCCTGCAGAGAGCAAATTAGATGATGTAGCTGTAGATCCTAGAGGCCATCTGGCAGGACATGGGGGGCTTGGGTGTGTTGACAGATCCGTGGTCACCCTTGGCAAATATCCTTGAGGATGAGTTTGTACTCGACAGGCTGGATAAATAATAAGCTGTATTAGTGACCAAGACATTTTTATTGTGAATATGACTGTTATCCACTCAGCAAACAGTGTCCAATCCCATCTGTGATCGCTTACTGCAGTGTTGGTAGGTTATCCACAGTATTTGCAGTTTATCTTATGGTGCAGGTTGGTTAATGCCTTAAAATATCAATATGTCTTTGAAGGTTTACACTATTATTTGGAATGGTGTAAGCCATCTCCTTAATGTGCCAGTGAAGACATAATAGCTGCCATTATTTTAGAGCAAGATCCTAAGCAAAGAACAGGATATGCTTGCTTCAGACACACTTCAACCTGTTGCCTACCTCCACCGTATGTGCTTGATAGTTTTATTGAGGAAAAATGCTTAGTTCCTTTGTCTAATTATAATCAAGACTTTCAGCAGGAGACTCTGGGTTTTGAAATCTTCCCTGAAAACATCCAGAGCATCTTTGCTTGTCACTGGGGAATCTTATTTAGAAGGGATGAATCACGGTAAGATTCTCTATGATGCTGACATGCACAGTGACCACTGTGTACACCTGACAGTTCCTCACAATAAATACAGGTGTTGGTAAACTTCACTAGCTTTGTTCATCATTTATTAGCAATGCACTGCTCAAACTTGTGAAATAGGTCTCCACAAATTAGACCGTTTAGAAATATGTATACTGCACAGGTCTCAGTGGTTCTACATAGGCCTGTGCCAATTGAAATGTGAATTGAATTAAAGCTATTTTTTTAATGGCAATGTTATCCTTTTTCTCAGAGCGAGAGACCAAGAGAGCAACAAAAGGAGGGATGAAAAGGAAGAGAGATGTTGAACTGTATTTGAGCTGAACTTTAATACAACCACATATATGATGTGCCAGTCACACACATATTATAAAAAGTGACGCAAACAGCAGTATTTACATGACAAATAAACAAACATTATGGTCGAGCTCCATGGAAAAACACAAAATGCAAAAACACCCAGAAGTGGTGTAGAGATCATTTCAGCACTTAACCTTTAAACAGTTTACAATCCTTTTAAGCATGCAGGCTTCATTTACAACGAACCAAACAAGGTTCTGGTGGAGTTTGTGCACATGGAGTCGGAAGGGGCTTTCTCTCGTTCTCATGGCTGATATATCCATAATGTGAAACTCAGAGTGTATGAGCCCCTTTCACTTCATTTATTTGCCGCTCACCCTATTGCCATCGGTTATTTCCGGTCGTCCATACGTCGCCCTCAATGCAGTCTCTCTCACACACGCACACACACACACACGCGCGCGTACACACACATGCACGGAGAGGGAGAGGCGGCGTGGATATGCGCGTCATCCTGTTGCAGCGTGACATTGCGCACCTTCAAACTTCTCCTGGCAAAGCGAACATGGGCGGCGGTGCCCGATCAGAGGATTTACACCGCCTTGGTTTTTCACCAAGTGTCTGGCGGATAGAACTCATCTGCTTGTTGTGTTGTTGTACTTTCTGATGTGCGCTGCCAGACAACATCTGAACACGTTGAATGGGTGGAAAGACTAATTATTTTTAATCTCACATTAAGGTAAGAAATGTTGTTTTCTGCTTGTTCGTGTTTAAAATCTTTGTCAGTTGATGTTTGGGCCGTTTTAACACGACTTATAACAGTTTAATTAACAGGTGTGTTTTCCATAATGAATGACATAACGACTTTTTTTTATAAATTGAACAAATTTGCACAATCAACCCACATCAGTTCTTGGTTATTCTTGATTAACTATGGGAGCTTTCGCTGTTTCAGGAATGTGGAGTTTTTTTTAAATAAAAATTACTTGATGGATTAGATGGTTGCCGTAAAAAGTAGCCTATAATAATACAAAAGCTCACTATAATAAGGATAAGTAAGTAGCTGTAATTTTCAGAGGTTGTATTGATCTCAGTTTGTAAGGCTGATAAATGGAAATTAACATTGAGATCATTGCTGAAGCCTTTTCACCATCACTCGACATCTATTACATCATCCGGACATGGTTGTTTGTTATTAGCTCTGCTGATGTTTTTCTGTTCCTGCTATCAGTTCACAGCATGTCGGTGCCGCCCTCATTAGTCAGAAACACAGTCGGCTACTTTCGCCAGAAGTAACACAACAGCTTTCCTTTTTGTTTTCCTTTGGCTTTGGTGGAGCTGGGCTGGCACATTGATTGACAAGGCAGAGACAGATCCCTCTCCAGCAGGATGCGCTTTTTCTTATCACTTCCTCCAAGGCCTCTATGCACATATACAGCCACTATCATAATAAAGGGGAGTAGTTTTTGCCAAAGCAGCCAACTGGAAGGTTAAACCAGAGGGCTCACCATGTTGTATCCTATAAAATTCAGTGATGGGGAGAAGCTATATAAGTGGAAATTAAATATATATTTTTTTGCTTTTCTTGTGCAGCTTTAGAAACATTTGCAGCCTCTTGAGATCTTAAAAAACATAATGGCTGAATGCTGTAGCTTACTAAAGCTGCTGGATAAAGCCTGTTTTTTTAAATTCCTTTGGCCCGTGAGAAGGTTTCAGTAGCGGAACAATAGAGGAAAAGTAGAACTTTGGTCCGATGTACTGCCAATCAGGATCACTGCTGGTAGAGCTACGGGGCTATGTGTGTATTAATGAAAGAACAATGTGTGGAATTGAAGCAAATGGTTGTTTTTTTCTCTTCTCTTTATATTTTCAACACCGGCAGTGTGTCTTTACATTTCCATGTATGGACACTAAAGTGCAGTTATGGGTCTTTAACTATTTTTCTTCTTGTACAACAAGTGAGGCCAGTTTAATTGGGAAGTAAAGAGCAGTAAATGATCGTTCTAATCAGGTACTAAGCCTAAACCGCCACAGACAGGGAGGCGCTATCAATCAAACTAAAGAATGTAATGCAATAGTACACATTATTTTAGCAGAGCAGAAGGTAAATATGAGTTTCCATACCCCCACATTTTTGTGGTTTCATATTACTCAGTGGAGAATTCCCCAATAACTGAATTTACCTAAACTGAAGCTTAATTTAGCCAATGTAATACTTAGTATCACAACTTCTCTGATACACACCCACTTCAAAGCTCATCAGAGGTTGAGAATCTGTTCTCTTAGTACATGGACATCAGCTTGAGTAATGGGGAGAAGGTCAGTGAGCATCCTTATGGGCTCCAAGCACAACATATGTTATATGAACACATGAAGATCAGTGTCACATTCATTTATGGATACATTTCTGACACAGTGGGAGAAAAGCTGGGATAGAATGAATGATTGGATTGTGAATTCCTCTGAGATATGCTGACAGACTGTAAAGCTCCCAGAATTGGTCAGATGGTCCCAGCATGGCTCCTGTAGTGACCCGGTTTCCCCTCCAGAATCATTTGTTGAATCTTATCTGGTCAAATGTTACTCACTGAATGGACCTTGGCAGGAACTAGGCCATATTTACAAAGCGTTTTTTTCACTGTCGTCAATAACTGTCACCTTCAACATATGTCAACTCCACAATTCAGAGGAGATAAAAGCAGGTTTTATCGGTATGTTTATGTGTTGCACCTTATGGTCTGAGTGAAACTACATAATGCAGCCTATTTCATATGTTAATGCTGGTATTATAGGCTGACTCATACTGTATTTATTGAGGTTTTAATAATTAGATTACATATTAACATTTATTGCCCGGTTTTGTTTAGCTAACCTAACAGGCACATTTCTCATTCAAATTCATAGCAGGCTTCCACTCAAACTTCCATAACAACTTTACTTCCTAGCTGTTGTTCAAAGATAATTCAATTATTTCTTACTGCTCGGGTGAAAATGTATAATAATGCACTAACTAATCTACAGTATCACTGCAGCCTTGGTTATTATTTTATGAAAACCTGTCTTCCTCTCTCTCCCCCGAGCAGTTGTACTACTGTAAACAACTGTGGTTGTAATAAAATGCCATAATCTGCTTACAATATAGAGGAATTTAGCTAAATACCCTGAAAAAACACAGCAAAGATAGCTTAACCAAGTTTTCCAGTGTTGGTACAATGGCTTTGAAATGTATAGGTGGTTTAATTTGTGTAATTGTCAGTGGTTTTGGAGGAAAGCATGAATGACTAGAACATGGAATGGTTTCGGGAAACTTTTCCTGAAATAAAAGGTGCATTGTTGGCCCGCCTGCTTTGGCTCGGTGTCTGCCTGTCTTCCAGAGATAGATGTTTTTTTCTGACCTGTGTGGTATCCTGCGATCTGTTTGTACAGGCAAGAGTACTGAGATTGTGCTCTCTCTCTCTCTCTCCCTCTACAGACCACTGCTCTTAATTTGGCAGCCGTCCGGCAAAACTCCCAGACCCTTCCTCCTCAGTATTCTGCTGCTGTCTGTGGCAAAGTTTACCGAGCTGCACACAAAAGAGGCGAAGACGGTTGCAGAGACAAAGAGGAAGACTGACGTACTGTTAGAGTGTGATTGACAGTAAAAGGTTGAGTCAGGCAGGTGTTTGTGGTGGGAACTTCCTGCCGCGGCTGTCGTCGCGTGACACAGTCACGCTTCCCTGAAGTCGTGCCTTGCGGTTTTGCAAGCAGGTATTTTGTCTACTAACAAGTCAAGCAGCTGAGTCTGTGGGATGAAAGTACAAAGAAAGCAAAAAAGAGGAAAAAATAACCATGCTGAAGAATGACCAGTTGGTCTATATTGGCCTGGAGCTGGTAATCGCTTTCCTGTCTGTGGCTGGGAACGTCCTGGTCTGCTGGGCCGTCTGGCTCAACTCCAACCTGCAGAGCATCACCAACTTCTTTGTGGTGTCACTGGCAGTGGCTGATATTGCTGTCGGTCTGCTCGCAATTCCCTTTGCTATCACTGTTAGGTATTACGTTTGTTATTTCATTTTTTTTTTAAATAGGATTTTAAATCAGTGTAATCTAGAGTAAAAGTGTAATAAATGACACTAACACTCCGGGATTGGTTATGAGTTATAACTTTATGGACATTGCTTAATTAGATTTGAAAGAATTTAATATTGAATGGGGTTTTTAATGTTTGGTTTTTTTTATCACCTGTGATGTTTGCTTGCCTTCCAACATCAGCACCGGCTTCTGTGCCGAATTCTTCGGCTGCCTGTTCATCGCTTGCTTCGTCGTCATACTCACCCAGAGCTCCATCTTCAGCCTGCTGGCCATCGCTGTAGACCGCTACGTCGCTATCAAGAACCCACTCAGGTGAGAGGGAAACGAAAAGGTCACATCAGCTGCGCTGAAAACTGAAACAGAGATAGCTTCCCACGCTGTCACTTTAACCAACATGACTTTTCAGACTGACCTAATCGCTCTGATTTTGGGAGATTTTGTTATTTTTGAACTGTTGCACAGTTTACTTTCATTTTCAACAAGATGCTCTTTTCACACAAGTCAGAGGAGTGTGGGTAAGCCATTAAATGTGAGAGGCACATACGCAGTGTAGCAAAATACATTGAATTATTGAGAGATCTTATTCAATTAAGGCTAATCTGGCCGGCTGTGGGCAGACGTACATCTGTCTCCTCCGGCTTTATTGGGTTACTGTTTGCGTGCTGTTAGATGGATTAAATCTCTTGGGCTTTGATCGTTTTCATCCTTGTAAATTAACACCATTCAAATTCTACTCCTGCACGAGAGGATATTTCATAGAGAAAGCCACAGCAGGTGATGCATTTGCATAAGCAGTTGCATAACGGCTTCTGCATGTGTTTGTGTGCTCACACTGGTGCCACAACCCCTGGCACTAAAGACCGGAGAGCTAATAATTCATCAGAGTTTCAGGAGGCTTAATATAGCCAACTGGCTGCCGCCCTGGCCATGAACGATCTCAGTCACATGGGACAATGGCTGTAGGTGAGGTAATGTTCCCCAGAATACTGCAGTTGTTCATGCAGATTTTCTATTTTTATTCCTCCAGCCAAATGTGTGCATTCCTGATGTCTGCATGAAGCAATGTGCACATTAATGCTGCCAACACAGTCTTCAAAAATACCCCAGAAACTTGAGGATGGAGCAAAAATGATGAAAAGAAGGAATTTAAATGTTTCAAGCAGGATGTTTTAAATGCAGGTCCAGTTGTTTGGATATCAATAACTTTTTTTTAGTCCTTGTGTCAGTTTTGTTGACATACGTAGCACAAAGAAAAAAGCTAACTTAAATAACATAACGTAAACATATTTGTACAATTAGCATACCTGTATCAGTGATTCCATTGTAAAATAAATGTCATGTCAGTAGCCTCCAGTAAATGATGTGATATTAATGTTTGTCATTTTTGTATTTCACTGTATTTCTCGACAGCTCTTATATGACTTGACGGAATAACAATTTCTTCAGAACTTTAACGTCAAAACTTAGATGAGAAAGAAGTGTGGCAGTAAATCAGGAAGGAAATGGCCTGATTGCAGATGTCACCCAGCTATTTACGGAGTCATTCAATGACACACAGCAACATTGCATACTGTGTATATTCCTCTATTTTATATCATGAAAGGAAGGAAGAACACATACTGGCATCAAAGCCTGTTGTCAACAAACCTTTCCAAAATCAGAATGGATTTAGATATTTTAAACACTTGGTGTGTCTTTAATCAGCACACAAAAGTACTGGAGAACATTATTGTAAGTGGTTACAGTGTTTTGAACAGCCAGTAGTGCAACAATAACAAAACAAATCTTCAACTCATGCCTTGGCTTATTAAATAAATAACACATGTAGGCTTGAATGCACAACCATTTCACCCGAGCTCTTTTAAATAATCAAATGTTGAGGGATACTATCACGCTGAGCTCAGATAAAAACAAATAGCCCTAAAGGTATGATTGTGCTCTGCTCAACCTTTCAGGTACAACAGCCTGGTGACAGGGCAGAGGGCAAAGGGTATCATCGCATTGTGCTGGGTTCTCTCAGTAGGCATCGGCCTGACACCGATGCTGGGCTGGAACCGAGGTGAGAGATTTTATTTTGGCAAATTTAAATGCGGCTTACCCAAAGATGTAGAAAAAGATAAATATGGCATATGTTACGTCGTTCATAGCTTTCTGAGGAGATGGTTTGATACCTGAGTTTTGTTTTACACTTGTTTGACTGTCAGTTGTTTCAATCCCGAACATGTGAACATGTGAATTTGGGAAAAGAGTAAATCAAAGTAAACACATCTCCAAACAAACCCTGTTTGTTTCCTTGATGTGTAAACATCAAGGAGATGTTTATACATAATGTGTATCCAACACATTATGTGTTGGATACACATAATCTATCCAACACATTATAATTGGATAGATTACATTGGATAGATGTAATCTATCCAATTACATCTATCCAAATACATGTAATTGGATGTTAATTCCCTTAACATCCAATTACTACGATAATTTTCAAAATTGTCCGACATTTGTTTCTGCAAAAAAGACACTTAGAAAAATTATTAAAAGATGAAACCGACCAATTAATCACCCCTAATTCTGTTATACAGGTTGGAACAGCACCGCCGCAGCCAGCGGCCGGACCTGCCCCGAAGGCTTGACGGAGTGCCTGTTTGAAGAAGTGGTGACGATGGAATACATGATCTATTTCAATTTCTTCGGCTGTGTGCTGGGTCCCCTGGTGATCATGCTGGTCATCTATGCCCATATCTTCATGGCCGCTCGGCGCCAGCTCCGTCTGATGCGGCTCAAAGTTGCTCACACCCCTGCTCCTGGAGAAGTCGCCTCACGCCGTTCATCACGTTCAACCCTGCAGAAGGAGGTGCATGCTGCCAAATCGCTGGCCATCATTGTGGGTTGGTTTGCTCTGTGTTGGCTTCCGCTGCACATCATTAACTGTTTGCACTACCTGTGTCGGGACTGTGGCCGTGCACATATCTGGGTGATGTACATCGCCATCATCCTCTCCCATGCTAACTCTGTTGTGAATCCCTTCATCTATGCTTATCACATTCTGGAGTTCAGACAGACCTTTCGGAGGATCCTGTACCAGCAAATCCTAGGGCAGAGGCATGGACATGGGTTTGAGGTTGGGAGTGGAAATGGCAGAGGTGTTGGGAGCAGAAACATCATTCAGACTTCCTCCCATACCAGTAACGAGGGTTCATCGAGTGGCACGGTAGTGAACAGCTACGTCCTGGACACCAGTCCTGAACGAACTCCACCAAAAGCGGCTCACGAAGCCTCTTGCCAATGGACATCAAAGTTAGACGCTGCACCAAGGAGCTACATACCCAACGGACACCAAAACGGTAGCACCCTTCCAGCAATGCAGCAGCTGCATCCATGCTTCGTGGGCTTTACTGCTCAGGATGGAGTGGAGTCGGTCACAGATCTGAGGGGAACAACAGATGTTGTGGAGGTGAAAGACAGTGGAAGTTGCATTGCTTTTGTGAATGTTCATGCTCTCTCCCTAAAACAGACCGACTGTCCGTGCTCAACAGAGCTTACAGAAGTCTCATGACACAGATATTTAGGTATTTAAAAAATATATTCTATTCCCATAAAACACATGATAGTGTGCAAACATGACAACTTGAAGAAGGATTATTGAAGCCTCATTAAATCAACAGCAAATCTGTTTCTCTTTCTGAAGTCACATAAACTGGTTGCAGGGAATATTTTGGCATTATTACTCTTTCTCATCAACCATCTCTAAGTTGGATCAGATTTACAAGCACACTCCAGAATTTGTCAAAGGCAGGTGGGTGTTTAAAATGGGCTGCTAATAACATTTTACTGACATGCAGCATAATAACATCTATGTCCTTTATCCAAGATAAATGTGCATTTTTTTAGGTTGCATGCCTTTCAAACAATGTGCATTTTAGAAAACAAACTACAGTATCACCTGTACTGTATCTTGCAATGAATTTGTAAGAGACATTTCTATTGTTGAACTGTTTTTTTGATAATGTTGCCTCACAATTTGTAATGCTCATCTGTATTGTTTTTACTCACTGGAGAATTAAAAGTCTTAAATATGTATTAGTTTACTCTTTTTTCACCAGCTGAGGTCCCGTTCTGCTGCAGAACTACCATGAACCACCTATATGTACCACAGAGAAGAAATATTCCTTCTAAGAGCTGTAATTAATGGTCTGAATATCATAAACCACAGTCCTCACAGGCAGCTTATGGAAAACAATGACACTGTTTAAAGTCGAGCATTCGGGCATGTACCATCTCTTGTGTAAAGATCTGTCAAAAAGTCATTTCTCAAAGTGCTGGATAGCTACTTAACATTTGATGTTGCTAGGTTGATCAGTGATTTGATAACTGCCAGGCAACACATGCCCGTTAGTTCAACAAGTATGAGAGACATGCGTCAAAGGCACCCAATATATAGTTGAGTTACCAATGAACCAAAACAACGAGCTTGTTTGACCTATTCAAATATTACTCCATATGCCTGTAGTGTGGCTAGTTTCAGAGTCAGTCTTGCACAAATAGACAGAATGCAAAACACATGTACACACACGTAAAGTACATACACATGACCGCAGACTGAGGTGTTTACAGAGTGGCCTGGCTGCTGACGCCAGTCAATGAGCCTAATGCAATGGAAATCAAATGGAGGATCATTTGACGATGTCTTTTATTATGCCATTACGCTTTCTCTTTCCTCGTTAAAAAGCCCTTCCATTGTGAGAAAGGCCTGCATTAAGCAACATGTACGTGCCTTGAGGCAATCCGAGAGACATGACTCAAGGAATAAACATACATGGGTATGTATCTAGCTTGTTTACAGTATGTTTATTCTGAAACTATGCATATTAGTGGTATATTATTACTTTGTGGTCATGCCGAGGGGTATTAAAATCAATGGAGCCATTTCATTTTGATGCTGATTTTTTTTGGGTGCTATTTTGATTATCATAAGATAAGGGTTATGAAAATGATGTGGTTATGGGTGAATCCAATCTCAGTCATTTCAGAACAATAAAACCCTTAATAAACAAGGGACTGTTGAAGCCATATGCCATAGCAGCCGCCACATCTACCTCACAGACAAGGCTCCAGCTGGGTATATGAGTGTGTGATGTCCAGATGGGAAAGAATCCAGTGTGTGTCTTTATAGTACGCCATTCAGTAATAAATTAATATACATGGGAGGCATGACATTGGCATGCAAAATTTCTGTGCGCCGTTTTAGCAAGTACAAGCAAATTAGCAGAATAACTCAATAACACGGTTGCTTAGAGGCAGCAGCATTGTTTGTTTTATGATTCTCTTTGCGTTCTCTCTCAGGCCGATGCAGTGGAGACTTGGACTGGCAACATGCAGGAGACATCTGGTGTCTAATATCTATTGGATAGACTTTGATTCAGTGAGAGAGCATGCTGAGGAAATTTATTTTAAAAGTTCATGCAAATTTGTACCTGTTTTATTAAAACCCTAAATCTACAGCATACGTGATGTTTGTGTCTGGGTATATTTATGCATAGACTGAATTAACTCTTTTAATTGTATTCCTTTCAGTAATATGTACAAAACCTTGCTGTATGATAACAGAAATGACCAAGGATTAGGCAAACACAGCTTCAGCCCTCTGGCAAAACACTCGGCCATTGACAAATCAGGATTCCCTTGAATGACTCAAAATTCAAATCCCACAATGCAACGCGGGATGTCACAGGAAGCACTTCTTTGAACCACTGTTGCATTGTGGGTAAGCGGAAAAGGCTCCAAAAGGTACGCGATAGCGACAACGGCACGTTGCAGAGTCGTTCAAGAAGAAGAAGAAGAAGAAGAAACAACAACGATTAAGAAATCAGTTTGAAGAGAGAATCAAGGTAACTATCGAAACAGATGGGACGAAATAGAAATTCAAAACTCTGTTTGTTCAACACTGTTGTTTGTCTGTGTTGTTTCTAAGCGCTCATTCATTCAGTTGGCTAGCAAGCTTCCGCCTGTTAGCTGAAATCACATTTTCTTCCGTAAATAATCCAATGTTAGTGTTAAATTAGTACTTAAATTGCGCCATGCTTTGATTTGTAGTAATTCAAGTTACTTCAGAACAATGTGTGGTGGTCTTACCTCTGTGTTAGGTACGACGTTGGCGTTGTATTGTTATAATTCACGGAGGACTAACGTTAGCTAATATAGCTAGCGGCTAACTGCGTTTACAATGACGTTGGTCGCATTTATCAGACCCGAATTTTAGCTTTCTCACACTGCGGTCTACTAAAGTTTTGTGATTACTATTTAGTAGTTAATTGCGGTATCTACTACGTTTTAGACAGATTAAGTAAGACAATATACCTTACATTTCCACAAGGTAATCATAGAGGATAATGGATTCGCATTCCCAAAAGTTATTCCACATTTCTTGAAGTAAAGGTATATTGTAGAAAATAGTTTGGTGACCGCCATTTATTATGAGACAACACATTGTAACAGTTTCTTCAATGCATGTTTTCTTTTTTTCCAGGAAGACTGTTGAAACATGTCCATCGGTGTACCAATCAAAGTCCTGCATGAGGCAGAGGGCCACATTGTGACCTGTGAGACCAACACTGGAGAGGTGTACAGGGGCAAGCTGATCGAGGCTGAGGACAACATGAACTGCCAGGTTGGTCTTTATTAATAAATGCTGAATAATAATCATAAATTAAACTCCGTACAGCCTGATTTCCACACTGTGTTGCAACCTTGTTTTCATTGCATTTTGGGAACAATAGTTCAGGTTGTCGCTGCTTGATTATTTGCCTAACTCATTGTGGGGGGTGAGCTCTCAGATTTTTAAATAATTTGCTTATTCAAATATTTAATTATATATTTTTTTTCCTGTCCCAACAGATGTCCAATATAACAGTGACTTATCGTGATGGCCGGGTGGCACAACTGGAGCAAGTCTACATCCGTGGCAGCAAGATCCGCTTCCTGATCTTACCCGACATGTTAAAGAATGCTCCGATGTTAAAGAGTATGAAGAACAAGAACCAGGGATCCGGTGCAGGAAGGGGCAAGGCGGCTATTCTCAAAGCGCAAGGTGAGCAGAAAGTTTTTGGACCAGTATCTTCTTGTAGCAGTTTACACATTTAATTCCTTTTTTGTGCAGCAGAACTCAAACTTATCAGGGGAGAGAAACATTTTCCACAAATGCTGCCAACTCTTTTGTTTTACAAGTCAATGCATCTACTTACTCTAAGCACTTAACTTACAGATAAGATGCACCTGCCATTCTGTCCCATGGGGTTCACAATGAGACTTGTGTGACAAATATATTATCGTTTCACAAAAGTAGCATTTACAGCGTTGTATCTTACATTTTCAACTCTTGCATATTTACATCTAGTTTGTAGATCATCTATGTGGCAAAATTAGTGAACCACTATGTCATTTTGGTATAATTTGTCTTTTTGCTTTTTTCCCCCCTACAGTGGCTGCAAGGGGCCGGGGCCGTGGTGGAATGGGACGAGGCAACATCTTCCAGAAGAGGCGATAATTGCTCCAGCTGTGTCAAGATTGTTGCATTGTATAGTCTTCTGTTTTTAATTGTGTTGTCTTTGGATTGGATATCTTTTGTGTTTTTTGCAATCCATTTGCAGTTCATTGCTTTGCTTTCATTTTTTATGAAAATAAACATATTTCCATTTGAAGTCTCCTGTCCTCTGGTTAACTCAAGTTAAATATTAGTTGTCGGCAACTGTTTATTTTGTCACTAAAGGCTATATTTACCTGGTTTTCAAACAGCTACTCTCTTTATGTGATGAACAAATTCCTACCTGTCGTAGATGGATTTCTTGCATGCATGAATAATATACAATATTAGCTATTTGGCAAAATGCACCAGTTACACCTTGCATGTCCTGAAAGCAAATTTCCACCATGTCTGAAAATTGCTCCAAATGTTTTTAATCTTCACTGAAGTTTGCCAGTAAACTTTTAAATTATATTTATTCTATATAGCCCAAAATCACAAATTTGCTTTAGAGGGCTTTACAATCCGTACACATGCGACATCCTCTGTCTCAGGACCCCTCACATCGGTACAGGAAAAAAACCCTTTAATGGGGAGAACAAAGGGATGAAACCTCAGGGAGAGCTCTCAGGATGGACAGATGTGATGTCATGTGTACAGAATGAACAGTTGCAACTCATTCAATGCATATGACGGATTATTCATATGAGAGTAGTAAGCATAATAATGATGGAAAAATTACAATTAATAGCTGCAGATGTGGATATAGTAGAATAACGATAAAAGCGGTAACGGAACTTGTAAAGCAACGCACAGTGGTTGAATTAATGAGCTGCACCTTGGTTGATAAGATTAAGGTAATATTTTTAAACCTGGGTGTTATGCTGTTTTCTTGTCAACTAAACTACAAGCCAACTCTTAACGAAATAAATATGGAGTAAATCCCCAAAGAGGCGGTCAATCCCATTGTGCAACCACAGGAGGGAGCCGGTCGACCACAAAGTGCTTGTAGCAAAAACAGAAGCACGAAGTGTTGTACTTTGAGGTCGCGAGTTACACGAAAAGAAGAACAAAAGGTAGCCCGCGCCTCCTCCGCGGATGTAGGTTTCCATGAAGCATTGTTACTGAAACTATTAACGTTAAATTAGCACACCGCCCGTTTCCCCACCTGTCCTCCATGTGAAGCACGGGACCCGTGTGCTCAGCGGGATTGGTCCGTCACATCGTCGGTTATCAGTCTGTCAAACAGCTCGCTAGCTGTCGTAGTACAGAACCTAAGTACCCCGCGGATGAAGAACGAGAAGGAAACTCACAACTCTGCCTTGCACGCATAAATAACACACGTTGAGGTAAGGATTCATGTTTTTATTTCAGATGGTATTTGGGTTTTGTTGTCGTCTACAGCGTTGGCATCAAGCATCCTTGGCTCGTGCCCACCAACATCTGTATCTTGACAGATGCTGCAGCTGCTAACGTTAGCTGCGCCGTGTGACTCTGGAGCTCAGAGCTAAGTTAGCTTCTGCGGGACCTCAGACCAGCTAACACTCGTTTCCTCTGTGAATCTGTGACAGCTCCGATAAAAGAGGCGCTGCGTGTTGCTCGTGGTAGTGCTCGGAGTCAGTGTGACAATGTAAGGTAGACATTGTTGCTCTTTGCAAGCTAACCCGATGTTGTTGTATTTATGATGCTGCAGAGTTAACGCAACACAACGAGGTAGTGAGTCTTGGTGATGGTTTGATTGCGTCAACGTTGAGTTAACGCCGTTGCTCAAAGTTCGTTAATAATGTTATGTCATGTAAACAGTTTTACTTTCATTGTTAATGTGTGCAGCTCTTTAATTGCATTGTCATATCATTTATAAAATACAGCATCAAATATCGGCCTAATGTTACTTCTTCATTGTTTCTTTCTCATTATTTTGATGCTTTTGGGATGTTTTTAAACCTTCAATCCATTAAGTTATAACATCAGCTGAAAACTGACTTGCACACAATGATCCAGTAGCTTTTCATCATATGATGACTGACGTGATAACGTAGTGGAAATGCACCACATGTCTGCTGTTGATCAAGATGACTGTACATCCTATATTATTATAGGATATATATATATATATATATATATATTTATTTATATTGAGCTGAGAGAATTGAAAACACTGTGTATTTTCCCAGATGGTCTTTGTTGACATATTTGGCTGCATTTACATATTCTATGAATGTTCATTATTCTGTGAAAACATATTGGAAAAGAAGTCTCACACTTTACATATTTCAGGAAAGAAATGGTCGATTAATCAATTTGTCAATCGAAAAATCTACTTTGATAATCGAGTAATTGTTCAAGTCAATCAAAAATGGCAAACATTTGACAGTTCCTGCCTCTCAAATGTAAAGGTTGTTAAATGTCTCTGTTAGATATTATTTTATATATATATACATATGTATGTGTGTGTGTGTGTGTGTGTGTGTGTGTGTGTGTGTGTGTATGTGTATGTGTATGTGTATATATATATATATATATATATATATATATATATAAAAGATGTCACCTTGGCTTCTTGGCTGTTGTGTTGCACATTTTTCACCATTTTTGACGATTTATTGAGGAAAATAATATTTCTCGCGAATACCAACAGTGTTTGTGTGGTGGATTCAGAGTTGACGCTGATACAGCAGTGACTAGTCGTGGTTTAATACATTGACTACCAGTGAGGTAGTTCAGATTCTCAGTCAAATTCTGCAGTGATTGTGTGATAACACTACAGTTAAGTTGGCCGAGGACGCTCATCCCTCCATTTACAGCAGCTTATCTCTTGCACGGCTCCGCGGATCACCGACGGGGTTGCCCTGTTGATCTTTTAATGAAGCTGGGGATCCTCCGCTGCTCCAGATGGCCCCGTGTTGTGCTCTTATGTCTGTGGGACAGTGTCTGTGTTGTTATTAATGCTGTACATGGCGTGGACCCCCCTCAAGCTCTGATAAGTCCTCTCTCCCCCTCCCAGGCCTGTCCAGATAGTGAAGGTCAAGTCATGTGACTTTTGTGATGATAAGAGGCGCAGTACGCATCTGGAGCTAGGCGGCATCTGTTGGCGTTTCACAAGGCTCAAATCTAACTGCTTGTTCCTTGTATAGCGGGTTGTGATCACCAGGGATCAGGGACATTTAGGGCTTTAGCCAGCAGTTCAGTTATCCATGATACAGAGCATCTTTGTCTAGGAACTATAGAGACATTGGGGGCTACGCTGTTTCAGGCCACCAAGATCAGAGGCTTTTTTTTAGCCATGAATGTCTAGCAAGGGGGGATTTGATATTTCACGTTTTGCAGAAAGCTTTCAGATAGTATTCGTTTGTGTGCTAGGCTACAGTTGTTTGTAGTTTCTGAAACTCACTTCCCTAACAGTGGCTGTTGACAGAAAAAATCTGTTGGCATTCAGCTGCCTTTTGTTAAAGGCTCAAGCTACTGCAAATCCTGCTGGTCAGACAAATGGCAGAGAATGAGATTTTCAGTGATATTGTGTGTCCCGCTATAAATGGTAATATCACGTAAAAGACGTTTTCCCACCACCAATGTAGAAACTGCACTGTGAATGGAAATGGGCCTCGGTGTGAGCCTGACCATTTATCTGAGATCACAGTAGGTTAAAGCTTGGTAAGTTGCCTCTCTTCTCGGGATGCAAAAAGCCCGCTGTAGCTGGGAGTTTCATCCAGGGTTATGGTCCTATTTTTTTTTTCTCTAGTCCATTGAAGCCGAGTCCAATTCAGTGGGAAAGCAGATCAGTGGGAAGCGATACTGAGTCGCTCAAACTATCTTTCAAGCTGTGTGCGATATAGAAAGACTAAAAGGCCATGATTGCAATTGCATGGACATATGTCAGTGTGTACCGTAGCACCCTGAATATATTTGTGTTACATAGAGTTTTTTCATATCCCTATCTTTGAACGTCGGCGGTGAGAGGTAATCATCAGGATCTTGATGGTTTCCTTCCCAGCATCTAGAAACCATTACCATATTAATAGAACTCAGAGGTGCAGGGGAACCGTATCCCCTTCATGTCCTTTATAAAAAAGAAGCAATGATTCTCCACATGGTGACTTTATTTGCAGAACTTAAATCTGTGGTTTCCTAAGGGTGTGTGTGTGTTTGGGTGACTTGCCAACAAAGGACAGTGGGGGAACCAAGACTATTTTTTATTTGTGAGTAAAAGTTGTGCTTTCAAAGGTTTACTTCTGTAAAAGTACAAAAATATTATAAGTCAAATTTACCTAATTATCAAAAGCAAAAAATACAGTACACGCTGGCAGGTTCTGTCAAATTCACTGCTTTACTCTGACACACACACACACCGGCTCAGTACTGCGTGAGACACATTTCAAATAAATTCTTACTCCAGTAGATGCTGAGAACTCTCGTATCAAATGCAATAAAACCCTCAAAAGTAAGGGAGGAAACAGCAGCAATGTGTCACAACATTTAGCCAACACGCAGAACAGAAACGTGCAGGAATGTTTTGTCAAGCAGCCGTCCGTCCTCGTCCACTGCGGCTAACGTTAGCGATGCCACACGGAGTTTGATCATAAGAGTAAGCGAATCAATGAAAGCCAATCGCTCAGCTTAATTTGGGAACTTCTTGTAGATTGTCGGGCTGAGGCTGCAGCCATGACTCACCGAATAATAGTACCAGTATCGATACAATCCTAACGATGCTCATCCCTACCAGGCAGTCAAGAAGACCAGGAAGTAAGTTCCTGCCATGAAACAGCAGTGCTCAGTGTGATATGTGGGGATTCTTTCTTCCCTTTAGTGAGTTCACATTGCTATATATAGGCTGGATATGGAGGTAGAGAGGCCACCTGGAGTGGGTGTCTCTTCCCACACATGGTCCTCATTGTGAACTTGGCTGGAGCTTCCACTGTCTTGCTTTTCCTTGATTCCCTTTGTTTTCCTGTGTCTGTGAGATTTGCTCAGCTCCCACACACTGACAGTGCCACAATCCTGTCGAAACCTTGACGGAAAGCGAGAGATCGTCTCTCTCTCTCTCTCTGTCTGTCTTTCCGCCCCTCCTTTCCTTCTTTCTCCATTCCTCTCACAGATAATTAGCAGCTGAGGGGACATGGAGATGGAAATGGCCCTCTTGAAATCATTATGATGCTGTATATATAATGATTAACCATGTTACATAACTGACATCAAAAGCAGACTGAACCGTTGCTTATATAGACGCGTCACATCTGTCCACTTAGAGGTGAAGGTTGAGATACGAGACTTGTTTACTGAACAGAATGTGTGGAGAAACAAGCTGTATCTCCTGTTTCTCAGCCAGTGAAGAGCATCTCTGATTGTTTTTTTCCACACGCTTTCATTACACCAACAACTTGGTTCATGCTGGCCAGTCAAACACGGTGCTCCAGCTGTGTGCAAAGGTAATTAAGCCGGTCATGCTGCGGTTGATTTAAGTCAGTTCCTGCACGGCCACACTTCTAAAACAAGAGGGAAATTCACGGGGCGTCGAGAAAGTGACGGGAGTGTAGGTTCAGTTCAACCAGGTTGTTGTTTAAAGATAATTATTCTTCCTACTTGCATAACATTTGTTAATTTGTTTAGGTCTCCCTCAGTCAAGTCCAATTTTGGTGGCAAAGTGTTTGTCTTCTGTACTAAAGCAGGATGTTGGTGTTGAATATGGTCTTGGGCTCCTTCCCTATTGAGTGAAGCCAGCATCGCACTGGTTCCCTTCACAAAAAAACAATGGGATTTTTCCATTGGATTATTGCAGAAAATGCGATCTGTGGCAAGCAAACATTTATGATACTTTCAGGTTTTGTGAATCGGAAATGCAAATATCCCAAGCTGAATGAGTAACCTTTCGCCAGGTGAGGCACATTGATCCGTCAGGTGTAAATAGAGTCATTAATCTATATTTGTTTATGTTTGCAGACACTATAGTCAGCATGTGTTTTTGTTACCTTACAACTTCATCAAGATAGTTGTATGCTACGGGTTAGTAAACTGCATGCGCTATAACTTTGGACCAGTGAGACCGGCCTGTAACGGACAGTACACCCCAAAATCAAAAATCCATATTTCTCTTGTTGTGAGCACTGTTTACAACAAGGTCTGTGGATCATCTTGAGTAACCGGGTCATGATTTCTAGAAAGAGACATCGCTGTTTATGAGCACCACAAGCCAAGTGCCAAATAGTCCGATTATACTGGAGAGAAGGCTATGTATTTTTGATTTTGGGGTGATTGTTCCATTATGTATTTTTTTATGCTGCAATTTGCTCTTTGGGCACCAATTCCCCCCCGAGGCTCCCGTCTGATGGAGCAGTGGCTGTCCGTCTTTGTGAAGAGGCACCATGTTTCCTTGTCACGTGACCCCCTGGCCCACTGCTGAACCGCCAGCCTCCTGTGGTCATGCGCCCCCAGCACAGCCCTCACAACCCCTGCCTGATCTGCTGCGCAGCTGTCCCGCTCCACCTCTGAACACCCACTCTGAGACGCCCTCGCCAGACCCCATGGAGTCCCTCATCGTGGTCACGGAGTACGAACCCAGCAGGCCGCCTGGAGAGGCTGAGGAGGAGGAGGTAGGATGAAACACACACCGGGTTACACTGTATGTATCAGATATGGAGCCTAATTGGATATTTGGGCTTCTGCAGAATGAAATAATTGCTTGGCACATGATGATAAGTTCCCATTTCAGATTTATTAAATCAACACTTTGAAGTTATGATTTTACGACTGTCGGAAGTAAGCGTTCTTACTTTAACATGACAGTTTTTTTAGACCCATAAATAAATCTAAATGTCGGGATAATGAGCAAGAGTGGAATCAACATCTGACACATCTGACACAGGGTCAACCAAAACTAAATGTTATTAATGTTCTCTCTGTTATATTGGATTGGACAGTAATAACAGGTATTACTGTTATTGTATCTTGTTAAAGAATAAAAGATAATGCTTTGAATTGAAATGTAGAATATCAGTTGGAAAGTAGGAACAAACTACATATCGACCATCATATAATAACCAAACATAGACAACCGTACATATGTACGGCATGAAAGGACAATAAATATGATTTAAACGTGTCACATCTCAGGTGGAGGAAATGGACAGTTCTGAGACGCCCAAGCCAGCTTCCTCCACGGTGGCATCCTTCCGGACTCCCTCCTGCGACCTGCTGTCCCACACGGTTGGCCGGTCAGAGGCTCTGCTACCCGAAAGCCAAGCGCAAAGGGGGAGATTAAACATGTTAGACCGGAAGTTGTCCCTCCAGGAGCGCTCGCAAACCGCGACATCACCCTGCAGCTCTCCGGGACTCAACGGGCGTTACATTTACCCGTCGTTACCCTACTCTCCCATCACATCGCCCCACTCCTCTCCACGCTTGCCCCGCCGGCCCACTGTGGAGTCCCACAGTGTTTCCATCACAGACCTCCAGGTACGGTCATGCATATTGCTGCTTAAAATCTGTCCCAGCCTGGAACAACCAACAACACTGCTAACACAAAATAATATTATAATTTCAAAGTCAGTCAGCGAATCGCAGGAAGTTAGCTAATTTGAGGCTACTGCCAACTGGATAATAATTGTGATTATATAATTCATGGTCTCTGCACCATCTGACCAGTGTATTCCCTTCAGGACTACGTTGCATAAAGCGTTACACATGGATGAACAGTCTGACTAATGTTCACACAGAGCCGGGCTCGTGCTCCTCTTGATCATCTGTTAGTTATCGGCGTCAGACTCGACTGAAAGTAAGCAGAACTACGTGTGCATTTGTCTCAAAAGCAGCAGCACACTGGTAAAGACTGAGCTTTGTGGATGGATGCACAGGTGAGGTCTCACGGTCTCAGTAGATGTAGATAGTAGCTGTGATCCCTGTTACGCATAGATGCAGATACCGGTCAATGTAGGTAGAATCTCTCTTAGGGGCTGCAGAGGTTGTCCTACATTATATTTATAACCTTGTATACATTATTTGCTTTCACTGAATCACCAATTTTAGATATGAAACAGGTGGTGTATTTTTGAAATATCCTCTTATGGTGGAAACTTGGCACTTGGTCTTTTTAATAATCCAGTTCAGGGACCACCAATCAAATATGTGTCATTTAGAAATGTATTTTTTATGAAGAACTAGTTAGTCAGGGGCATTGTTAGGTGTTTGTATGAATCATGAAAATTTGATGGACCGGATTTCGTCTGGCATTTTTAGGGAGAGCCAGTTTTGTAAGAATGCGTATGATGCATCTCTGGTGTCTAATTGCTAAAATAACTGGTGTGATGACGTTCAAAATGAACCATTTTTTCCTCCTCTCTTTTCTCTTACCTGTCTCTCTCTTCAAGGATTGCGTTCAGCTCAACCAGTACAAGCTGAAAGACGAGATTGGAAAGGTACCATCAGAGACTGCTCACTGCGTGAACCCTTTCACCGACTCGTTTCCTTTCTCCCTTCCGCCTACTGCATGTCTGTCAAGTAGCGCCGCACATCATCAAGGACACGCCCGTAACCGTCTCTGCTATCCTCTCTCCCGGCTGTCCTCATTTCCCAAACTCTGTGTAAACTACCAGGACCATGGGAGAGTTGGAAGACGGGCGGGAGGCTGGTATAAATAGCGCTCTCTAAGGGTTGTGCGAGCCTCAGTGGGTACAAGTGTGTGTTTGTGTACTCGTGTGCACGTTTCAGATTGTGGGCTTCAGAGGACAGAATGTGCACGACTGCTGTGAGTTTCTGCATGAAGATAGACGTGTGTAATGTGTGTGGTTTGGTGTTCAGCTGAGACTACGAGAGCCTTTCTAGACTGTTGGAGAGGCTCCTCAGATCAGGGGACAGGAGGATGAGCTCTGTGCTGCCTCTCCAATCTGCTCCCCCAGCAGGAACTGATCCTGCCCCCCCCCTCCTCCCGCTCTCTGTTTTTGGGCATGAAATTGTGCACACAGGCTACTAATTGGGCCTAGTTTTTATCCTGATTTCCTGTGTGTGTGTGTGTGTGTGTGTGTGTGTGTGTGTGTGTGTGTGTGTGTGTGTGTGTGTGTGTGTGTGTGTGTGTGTGCAGGGGAGCTTGATAGCTCAAAACCAGATCCAGTTTACTTAATTAGCTTGAAATGAAAAATGAAAGAGAGAGGGAGAGATGATTTGAATTTCTCTGTTCTCACTTTGAAGCAGCTGGTACTCTTTCAGCCCACTCACTTCCTGTGTGTGTGTGTGTGTGTGTGTGTGTGTGTGTGTGTGTGTGTGTGT